CTGTAAAAATTGTCGACGCTCAGAGGCATACGACAAGTTACGAGGGCTACGCGTATTCTTATCGGCGAATGAGACAATTAATACACTCCAAAACGTAGTTTGTATTTCCGTTTCACGAATCCATGTGCGCTTAATATTAGACTTGCTAACAGTCAAATTTATTAAGTCAAGGAAGCGAGCTTGGATTGGCTTAATAGCGTATTTCAGAAAGAGTAGAGCAACTCAGTAGGATATATTCCTAGATAAGCAATAATTTAACTCGAAAGAGTAAAAGATTGTTAAAAATGGTGTAAATTGACTTAATGAATTGGAAATGTTGGCTTGATTGATAAGCTTGATCTGGCTTGGTTGTTAAGCTTGATCTGGCTTGGTTGTTAACATCTCTGCTCACTATGTGTTAAGAGCATGAATACGAAATCTCGAGCGCTTAATAGATGCAACAGTGTTCTAGAGGCTTATCCGCTCTTAACGACCTCATTATCTCCCCTTCCCATACCCCGGATACGGCCTAACCCCCCCAAACATCCTAATACAATCCCCAACATTCCTCCCCTGCCCCTCCAACCCCACCATCTCCTTAACAATATTCTCCGCAAAGCAAATCACCGCCCTCGCCCCCTCCGCCGGCCTATTCCCACTCAACCCCCTTCCCACCAACCCCTCTTTCCCACCCTCCTCCCTCGCCAACTCAACAATGAGAGGGAGGTCGCTCGCATCGAAAATAGCAGAGTCGTCGAGATCAAACTCCGTAGCTGGGCCCGTGAGGTGCGACCATGTGGCAGGCCAGTTGATGTCGTGTTCGCGGCGGAAGTCTGTGCGGCCGAAGAAGAAGAGGGGGGTGTTGCGCGTGGAGGAGTTGAGAGGGGGCGGTGTGCCGGAGAGGGAAATTGAGAAGCTTGCTGTGGGGGGGTTTGAAGTGTTGAGGAGGGTTGGGGAGAGGAGGGTGGGGAAGAGGCTGAGGCTGGTTGCGACTGTGCCGCCGAGGCCGTGGCCGATGATACCGTAGGAGGCGGTGTTTAGACTGCCCGTGAAGTGGAGGGAGGGGAATTGCCGGGTGAGTAAGGAGGTGCTGTTTATTTGGCTGAGGGTAAATGCGATGTCGGATATACGTGTTGAAACTGCGGTTTCGACGGTTTGGTTATACTGCGTCAGGGGTGAGAGGTTGGATAAAGGCACCGTCCCGCTGTTATACACAACTTCCAAATCCCGGGTTCGCGAGGATGTGAATTGGACGATTGACGCGTCGCCCGGGTGGTCGATGACGATCACCGCAGCACCGTTGGCGGCGATGTAGCGCGCCATTGTCGAGTACATCAACCTGCTTGTGTCGACGTGTGGTTCTAGGACTACGACGGGGACTTTGCTGACGTCGCCGCCGCCGCCGCTACTACTACCAACGCAAGACGAGTATGTCATTGTTTCGAAGACACCTGCGTCACGCTCGTTGCCTTCGATGAACTGCTCGTTTGCTATCTTCGCGGTTTGCGGGGGCATGTACTCCTGCTGACCCAGCGCAGAACACTGTTTCCTGGGTACAGGCATGTACAAGCTAACCATGATCCTGCGGTCTTGATCCTGGCGGTAAGGATCCTTCTTTGTGGAATCTGTCAAGGGGAAGTGGGAGACGGCGACGAGGTAATTGTGGTTGTTGTCTGCGCCGGGGATTTCGATGGAGTGGACATTTTGCGGTAGGAGCACAGTCAGTGTGATGACGAGGATGAGGCCGATGGTACCCAGGAACGGAAGCATGACGACGGGTCGAGTGGAAAGGCGGAGGAGCTTGAGGAGACGAGCTTTGAAGGCGGGTTTGGTGGGGGTGTCTGAGGACATTGAAGCGAGTGTGGTGCGAAGCAATGTTGGTGAAGCAGTGGAGCAGCAGCGGGTTTCCGTTGTGACGTGGTGGAAACGGGAGGGAACGGGAGGGATGCAAAGTAGCGGATCGCTCTGTTTGCGATGTGATCTAGTGGAATCTTCGAGTGAAAGGTTTCAAGAGCGGAAGAACTTTAGTGTGTCGTTCGTACAACTGTGCCAACGTTCCTGAATATAATAAGGCCGGCAGTATAGGATGAGCGGACAGAATGACAGACGCACAAAAGCAGAGGGAAGACACCTCCACCACTACGTACCGAGTTGCGACTTGATCTAGTGGAAACATTTAGTGAAATGTTTCTGACAGCGGGAAGTATATTAGTGCGTCGTTTGTACTACTGTGCCCACGTTCCGTGAATGTGACGAGGCCGGTGTGTGGTCGGTGCATGGTCGCACTGGTGGGGGACGGGAAGCCTAATTCTCACTCCTATGGTCATTTGTCTGTATCCTACATGGTCGTCTTGATCATCAGCCGAGTAGTACCCGCACGGCAAAAAGTTGCCGACATGTATACCAACAGGCACTGCGTAGGACCCGAGTTCGCTTCTCCAATTTCGGGCTAGTGAAGGAATACCAAGACGTAAATGTACGCTAAAAGACAGAAATCGAATGGAAAGACAAGGGAAAACGGCGCGGGACTCTTGGAAAGGAATACGTGGATGAGATGCGAGAAGTGGAAGGATCGTTACTAGTCTATAGCCGTGTACCATGACGCCTCTATGTCTTGCCTTTCCTTCCCTCTTCATCCTCTGTTCTACTCGCAAAAACAGATAATGTTGAAATGCGGCCGTATCGTCGTAATCGTGCAGTGTGGGGTATAAGCAATGTTGAATCCTCCGTACGTAAAATGAGCGTGAACATCATGACCTGGAGATCCCCTCATCGAATGATGGAGAAGGGATTTCAGACGCGAAGATCATGGCCTGACGTAGATCCTCGGCACATCTCCGAGCCAGAACCTATCAAACTCGTGTAAGTAAAACAAAGACAAAACCAAAACTTTTCAAGACCCCGACTCCAGGGAGGAAAGCGACAACCTCTTCCTCTTCTCAATCGGCAACCTCTTCCACATGCCAACATGCTCAATACCCTCTTCGATCCAGTGGGGTTCTGCTGGTATCTCAACGTCGCCATCATCATTCTTCAACTCCTCGTGGAAACCGTGTTTCTCCCACATGCTCTGCAGGTTGGCTTGGGCATGGATCATGACCAAGCCCTGCCAGGTAATCTCCCGCTCCTTGTTGTTGCCGAGTATCTGCGCCATCTCCAGCGCGGTGGGGGATGGAGGCCGGTAGATGAGATCAGGATTTGACCCCGCGTAGTCGAGGGCGGCGTTGATGAGCAGCTTCGCGAGGCCGAGACTGCGGTAGGGCGCTAGGACTGCCAGCCTGCCGAGCTTGATGTATGGCTCAGGCGGGTGCTTACTCTCCTGCTCCTCACCGGGTGGGTCTGCATCGGCATGCTTGTCCGTCTTGTCGTCCTCGACGTACTTGTTTGGGCCGTGGGGCGGGGGTATCAGGCGAATCGTCGCGACGGGGACGCGGGTGGCGGTGGCTGAGGCGCGGCGGGCGTCATCAGCTGGAGTGTTGCCAGAGTCGGAGCGGCGCAGTGTCTTGGGAGGGTGGGTTGAGTGTGTGGCGACGGAAGCATAAGCGACCCAGTGCCAGCTGCGGGCATCGTCTTCGTCGAACTCGGCTTCGAGGGGCACGCCCTGCTCGCCGTAGACTTCCTCGCGGATGGCCATGGCGTCGCAGAAGTTCTGCGGCACGTGGATCTTCTGCTTGCTGCAGGGGAGCGTGTTGTCGTAGCCATCGAGGGCGCTCTTGAGTGGGCACACGGTGTTGACGAACTCGGTGCCTGAGTTGGTCGCGATTAATGGCGCACCGTTTGGCGAGCCGAAGCCGCCTTTTAGTACGCTGGTCATGGCGGGGATGGATGGGGTCGCTGTTTAGTTGCGCATGTGGTGAGGTGGGTGTGGTGGTGATGGTGCTGTTGATGCGGGAAGAGAGGACTATAATGGCGCGCTTGGTGGCAGTGATGAGGGAAATTGCGTGGCAGTCGTCGTCTTGAATTGGCGCAATTCAGGCAAACCCTGCTTTGGGAAGGCGCGATGCGCCCTATAAAGAGGGCACACCGACAAACTCTACGGTAGCATGCAACACGTTGTTTTGGGACCCGCAGTTTCAAGCGCTCAGGGTCCTAAGACTGGCTCTATACTAATAGCGGCAGAACAGCTGGAGATCGCGCGCAGTCGAGGCGCGCGGGCGAGTGACGTCTCGAGGCCGTCCCCCACTGATGTTGAGAAAGTGATGTCACTAGCTTGAACCCTTGCCCGGACCGCACGGACTACACGGCATATGGCGTCCGACGACCAATCATGTGGCGCGCTACACATCGGGCTGCCACTATCGCTGCCCTGAGATCGTCTGGTGCCTTACCTGCGTCTGTTTCACATGTCAGCTCGAGCTATTCGCCATAGCAGTGCATGATAGAGTTTCCGATACTGCGCGTTCCCTCCATCGATGGCAGACTGCCATGGCCATGTGTGCGTCCGCAAGGCTGACACGAAAGGGTGCAACGGAGTCGATAGAGTCCGCCAGACTCGGATAATGCATACCATGCTGCCTTTGGATTACTGATCAATTTATATATACACGCCCTTTAAGAAAGGTTTTTACACAATTCATACCAAAACTAGTATCGTGTGGAGGTATTTTTGCATTAAAATAGCTATCGTGACTCATGCACTGCTGTGGTGGAGTTGACTCACTCCGTCGAAGGGCGTGCATGTACATGTAAACGCTTCTCTCAATAGCTCTCCTATCCTGTCTTATCCGCTATTGTGGGACAGTCAAGCTAATCAAGTATCATCAAACTTAAAGAAGAGTCGCAAGCGAAGCCCCTGGATACCTTGCCAGTTCTTCATAAGCGCAGAACAAAGCAGAACACCAAGCAAATACTGTGTCTAGTCCTTCACACGCACCCCTAAACGCCGAAGTAACAATAAAATCAGCAGAAAGAGTCCCATCAACGCAGCCTTCTCAGCCACACATAATTACACCCCTCTATTCTTACAAACTACACCCTCCTACACTCACCCTCTTCTACCCATGAATCTTCCTTCACTCCTGTCAACTCCTCCACCCCCCCTCCCTCCACCCCCCACTCCTCCCCCCCTCCTTCATCACAACCCTAACACCACTCACCCTCTGCGCCCTATCCACCGCCTTACACATATCCACCACACTAAGCGCCGCGCCCATAACCGCCGTCAACGCCTCCATCTCCACACCCGTCGGTCCCGTACATTGCACTTTGGCTTCGATGTTCACACCCCCAAAACCCATCTTCCCCATCTTCCTCATCTTCTCCTTCCCCCCTAATATCTCACTTCTCTCCAATACCCCCATAATCCCCTCCATCTCCCCTTCCTTTGTTGTTGTTGTTGTTGTCCGCGGATCCCACTTCTCACCAAAAAGGCGTAGTTCAACGCTGACGTGGGTTAGAGCGATGGGGTGGCATAGTGGGATTAGATCTGGGCATTTTTTTGCGGCCATTATGCCGGCTATGCGTGAGGTACCCAACACATCTCCCTTTTTGTTGGCGTTTGAGCGGATGAGGCGGAGGGGCACGGCGTTTGTGAAGTACACGGTTCCGACGGCGATGGCGGTGCGGGTCGTGTGTTCTTTGGCGGATACGGAGACCATGTGGGCGGAGCCGGAGGGGGTGAGGTGGGGGAGGGATGGTTGGGAGGGGGATTGTTGTAGTTGGGATTGTTGTAGTTGGGATTGTGAGGGGGTGGGTTTGGTCTGTGAAACGGGTTGTTGAGCAGATGATGGTTGCTGCACTGGTACCTCCATCCCCCCGTCCATCATCGACAGAGGACGTTGCTGCTGTCTCCGTTCCGCCTCAAAAGGCGAATGCGCAGCAACCTCATTCATGCTATCCAGAAAGTCCTGCAGCGACGTTGTTCCTGGAGCCTTGCCCTTGCTGTCTGTCGGGGGCTTCACAATATGTCTAGGCGGTCCGGGCAATTCTGTCCGCTCCAATTTCCTCCATTCAACATGCCTCGAGCGTCTGAGTCCAGGTAGGGGCTGGAGGGGTCTCTTGGCGCGTACGAAGGCTGGTTTGTCGGTGTCGGTGTCGGCGTCTTGGTTAGGTACGATTTGGTGGTTCCGTGGCACGGGCTTAGGTAAGACTTCCTCGACCTTTTTGATGCTTTCCACTCGGTATTGCGGTAATTTGTCGATTGCGCGTTCGACCATTGGCGGCTGTTGGGGCGGCTGTTGGGGCAGTTGTTTGGTTTCGAATTCTCCTGCATGTTCATGTGCGCCCAACTCTCTCTTCTCATCTTCTATCCCTTGCTCTTGGACGTCCATCTGTTCATCCCCACCCTCTCGTCCTCGTTCCAGTGCCCCAGTCATTCGTCTCTCATCCTCCATCTTCTTAGCTTGCCTCCTCTTATTCCGCAAGACGGTCTTACTTACGCCCTGACCGGGAGGCCGATGCATCCGAGGTGAGTCCTCTCTGATTTTGCGAGGGTCGAGTTCGGCGTTATCTTTTGTGTCTGCGTTTGCGTCGGATTTGGCGTCAGTTCTTGGTGGGACGGGCTCTGTGGAGCGCTTGGGTTGGGGCTTTGGGTCGGGCTTGAGGTCTGGTTTGGCGATTGATTGGACGTTGGTCTTCTCGTGCGTCTTCGTGTCGATCTTTGCGACTGGTTTGGCGTTTGGTGTAGCAGCGGGCTTGGGCTGAGTCGGGCTGTCTGGTATGGCGTCTGTCCTATAACGCTGCTTCAAATCCTTTTTCTTCTCGTCTTTCTTGTCTTCTTTCCCTTCCGTCCCAAGGATCTTGGACCAAGACCAAAACCCCCGTCTCGTCGACGTCGAATACATCCTGCGTCCCATGACCCCGTTGGTCGTTACGCCACTCCCCGCCATTCTCATAGGCGGAGACACAGCATTCTTCTCCTCAGCACCCACCTCATCACCAGTCCTACCCACCTCTTGCTCCAGCACCCGCACCTCACCCCCACCATCCTCCCTCTCAACGCCCAAAAACCCCAACCCCCCCGCCTCCATCTCCTCCCAATCCAACACCCCCTCCGCATCCCCCCTCATATCCCACCTCAGCTCAAACGCCTCATGCCACCTCATCGCCATCCTTTCCGCAGCCTCATTCCCCAAATCATGTTCCCTCACCATACTATCCAGCACCTCCTTGACCCTCTCATCCACAACACTTTTATCAACCTGGCCTGTGCTGTCAACATCATCGAAGCGCGCGTTCCACCGACTGATCAGGATCTTGAGCCAGGTTTGCAGTGTGCGTTTGTTGGACGAGGTCCAGACGTCGTAGGGCAGGTTGTCGATGCGGGGGTAGGAGGATTTTAGGCGGTTGCGGAGGGCGAGGATTTGGGCTTGGAGGGAGGCGATGGGGGCGTCGAGGGAGAGGATTAGGGTAGAGTCGATGGGGATGATGCCTGAGGGGGGGATGTTGAGACGGAGGTCGTCCTTGGAGGACGGTGGGGATGGTGGGGAGTTGGGTGTATCTTTCTTGATGGGTTTGCTGGCCTTGGTTGATGGCTTTTGTTGGGCGGAGGCGGAAGGGAAGGGATCTCCTGCGTTTGCGACTGAAGTAGCGACATCGTCGACAGCCATATCAACTTGCTCATCTACCAGGATATCGTCGGTCGATTCGCTAGCAGTCGTATGTGCCTCTCCCTGAGTCGACTCCGTCGTAGGAACATCCCCAGCACCACTTCGTCCCCTATCCATAACCTCCTCCCCAACCACCTCCTCCCCATCTCCATCCCCACCCCTCTTCAACACACTCACAGCCCCCTTCCCCGCCGGCCACACCACCCTCTTCGCCTTCGGTACATCCACATCCTTAACTACCCTCTCTTTGTACTCCCTCTCCTCCCTCGGCGGATGCATCGGCATCTTCTTAACCTTCTTCATCGCATCATCCAGTACATCATCAAGCTCAAATCCCTCCGGCAACGCCCCTGAGCTATCCGTCTGGCTCGTTCTACGTACGAGACTGGCCCTCCGCTCCTCCTCTTCGTGTTCGTGTAGTTGGCGGAGTAGTAAGCGTTTCTTGGCTAAGACGACTTCGCGTCGCTTTCGCATCTCGGCGTGCCTTGAAGCTTCGGCTTTGACGACTGCGGCTTGTTCTTTATATTGGTTCAACAGCACACCGAGTTCTTTCATCTTCTCAGTCCGGTATTTTTCTTGTTCCCGTCTTCGTGCTCGCTCGCGCTCGTTTTTACCTTTCCTTTTCTTTGGTCCCGTTGCATCGTTACCAATAGGAGTGCCAACGGCATCAAACGTATCAGCCTCCCTCACACCCTCTCCCGGCTCCACCACCTCCACCGGCGCGCGCATTCCATCACTAGAAGCAGAAGCAAGCGGCGTCCCCCTCTCAACCTCCACAATTCGACGATGCAGATTCGCAATCTTCTTCTCGATATCCCTCAGGAGGTTTTCGGATTCATCCGGAGCTTCGACATCTTCTAAAAACTGTTGGACGCCGAAAGCGTCTGTGGATCTTGATGTGTCGATGTTTTTTAGAAGTTTCTTTGCCTTGGCGAGGCGTTTGAGTTGGTAGGTTTTCTTTGCGGTGAGGTGCGGGGATGTTGAGAAGGCGCGGATGGTAGTTGTCGTGGGAGGAGAGGTGGTGGGTAGGAAAGGGATGGGCGAGGTGTGTATGCTGGATCGGGGTAGCAGGGGGTTGGAGTGGCTGTAGGAAGGTGTTCGCGATGTAGGCCATTGGGGATCGAGGCTGGACAAGGGTTTATCATCTAACGAAGGTCAGCAAAGTACATCACAGACTGGACGGTCTCGGATGAGGACTAAATGGGGTATATGATTGGTGTATATAGCCAGATATCCAAGTCTAAGCGATGGTATAGAGACGAGGAAAGCGAACCATCGTAGCCCACGACTTCCGGAGCGTCATTGACGGCTACGACGGGGAGCTGAGAAGCAGAAGCAACGCTCAAAACGCCGTCTATGCAGTGACAACCGTGGTATCGTGCTCATCCAACCAAGACTGTCATGACCGTCGTGTCTGTTCGTGAAGAAGAAAAGAGAAAAGAGAGATCCAAATTCACCCACCAATTAAAATCATAGGCCTGTTCTCCATATTGGCCAAATCATCCAGATCAGCATGCTTCTCCGCCTTCCGCTTAACAGCAGCTCCAACAACGTCCAGGAGTTCGCGCTCGCGTTGGCCCCAGCCCAGCACCGTTTCGTCGCTCAGCCGGCCCTCGTGCCGGTCCATCTCAATCTGCCTGATACGCTCAAACGCTTCTTGATCAATAGGCTCGCCGCCATTACCCTGTCTAAGCACGTCTCTCAAGCTCACCTCCGCATTACCATGCAAACAGACTTTAAGATTCCCATCACTCGTAATGCGAAGCCTATTGCAAGACCCGCAGAAATCGTTCGTCATACTCGTTATAAAGCCGACTTTGCCCACAAAACCAGGCACTTCGTACGTCTTGCTCGTGTCGTTTTTGTGTCCGGGGACGGGTCTTAGACCAGGGTATTTCGTGCGAATAATATCGAGCATCTCCTGGAAACTGATCATCTTGTTCTCGCTCCATTTATTCCCGCCAAAGGGCATGTACTCGATGAAACGCACTTCGACGTCTTTCTCGCGGCCCATTTCGACGAAGGGCAGGATTTCCCGCTCGTTCAGACCGCGCATGACGACGCAGTTGACCTTCAGCTTAACGTTCGCGCCCAGCTTATTCATTTCGAGTATGCGGTCAATCGACCTCATGACGGCGTCGAAGCCTTTCCTTCGGGTCATGATCTGGAACTGGAACGGGTCTAGGGTGTCGAGGCTGAGGTTGACGCCGGTCAGGCCTGCTTCCACCATGGCGTCTAGTTTGCGGTGTAGCGAGATGCCGTTGGTTGTGAGGGCGAGTTCGCGGAGGCCGCGCGGGCGCAGACTGCCGATTTGCTGCATGAGCGGGACGATGTCGCGGCGGACCGTGGGCTCGCCGCCTGTGAGCCGGATCTTGGTTACGCCTTGCGAGACGAAGAGGGAGGAGAGGTAGAAGATCTCGGGTGTGGTGAGCATGTTGACGGGGGGTGATAGCGGTATGCCCTCTGTTTTTTGTTAGCAGAGTCCGGCTGTGCAGATGGTGGAAGCGCACCCTCTGGCATGCAGTACAGACACCGCAGGTTGCAGCGCTCTGTGATGCTGATGCGGAGATAGTCATGCTGTCGATTGAACGTATCCGTCAAGAAATCAGAAAAAGGTTTCGCGTTCTTAATCGCCTTCCTCCGCTCATCCACCTTCGACGACGCCGGCACCGAAACAGGCGGAACACCTGCTGGGAAATCCGCATTAGGTTCCTGGATCGCAGCATTCGTCGCAATGCATCTTGTCCGTAATGCGCCGATCGACAGTCGCGTAGCCGGGTGTGCAAGCGGTCGTGATACTGGTCGTAATGTGTGATTGCCACCAGCCGCCCGTCGCAGTCGCAGCGCGGCCGGACCCGCCCGTATCCTAGCCATTTGCGCCATTATGGGGAGAAGTGTCGATTCGAAGGTCCTGGGCAAACATTGGGAGGGGCGCACATGGGGAGCTATATACGCCGCAAAAGGGTAGGGCGGAGATGACTGATATGTGACATGCTTTGGAGCGCTTTAGGTGGGCTGTCCGAGAATGTGACAGGGATCTACAACGCTCTTGGCGAATCCTTACTAAGAAGCCACAGCAAAGGTGGGGTATGCGGCGAAGTGCGATACACGGTAGTTGGATCAGGGGAACTGTGTGTAAGTACTGGTAGTCATATGTTTTCATCTTTTCGACTGTATTTTGGACAATGGTAATCGCATTGCAATCAAATTATTCTGCGTTGTCGCGGAACCATTCCGAAGCTTCCGACATGGTGCACACAGCACGAGAATGACCGCATGCCCCGCCGGAGATAGGAGAAAGGATACATCAACTTGCGCCTCTATTTTGAACGACTGTCTCTGCCCTCAACGTGGTTTCTTTCGTTACGCTATCGGGGATTTACCTTTCTTCACTGTGTTCAAACTTTGTCAGGCCACTCGCATCGTGACTGTCTAGGTACCAGGGTTCTGAACCTAGATTCTCTCTGATATCCACGTTTGCCTGCAAAGATGTAGATGCCACCTGTCGGCTGAGGGTGTTGTTCCAGCCGAACACATTGTCAATCATGTTGGACACTTTTCGAACTTTGTATTTTCACTGCTAAAGCGATCGCTTCCTAAAATAAGCCGACAAATAGTACCCAGGTAATGTGCTTATAGTATGGCCATCACCATATATCAAAGGTTATGAAGCCCTGAGTGGTTATAGTACGCACCCGTGGACGTAAAGAAAAGCTCCGCCTCCAACAAAATGAACTCTCGCAGAACCATCAACGATATCCATCATCGACACCTCTCCCAATCTAGTAACCCAATAACCCTAGACCAGCCCCTACAACTCGCACTCCTCTTCTTCTTCCCCTCTATCATCCCATGCCCTCCTAAAAGCCTCAAACCCCTTCCCACTCCCCTTCCCCCTCCCACTCCTATCTCCCCTAATCCCCTTCCTTCCCCTCTCACCCTCTGCCTCATTCTCCTGACTTCTCCTCCGCTTACTCTCCCGCTCAATAGCCCCCTCAACATAAACATCAGCATGCCGCTTCCGCATAAGCGGCCCCACAACATGATGCGGCGCAATAACAAAGCTCGCTTCGCCAAATGCGGGTTCGGGCTTCTCGAAGACCCTCTTCTTCGGGGGTGGTGATGGATATGGTGGGGAAGGGGGTTTAGAGTTGGGGAGGTGGGCGAAGGGTGAGGCGGTGGGGGAGGAGAAGGAGGATGGTGATGAGGAAGATGGGGAAGGTGATGGGGAAGCTTGAGGAGAGAATGGCGAGCGGCGCTTTAGACCGCGGGTAGATGGTGTGATGGGTTCGCGGTGGGTTTCTAGGGACGTCTTGCGCTTCTTGTTGGCAGTAGGGGGTGAGGTGTCGTGCGTCTGATCGTCACCCGCGAATGCGTCGTTTCGTTCACGCTTATGCCCCTCCACTCCATCCCCGTTCAACTGTGTTTCCGCATCGACAGACTCATCCGTGACATCCTCATCCCTACCCCGTTTCCCATGCGTATTCAACTCCTCGTCCTCTCTCGCCCTCCTCTCGCGCTGCCTCCGCTCACTTCGCTCCTGCATATCCCTTACAATCTCCTCAATACTATCATGACCCGTCGGATCCGGATTCTCCGCCCCCTCACACTCCCGCCCCCCATCCGTGCAGAGAAACCCAGCCACAGCCTCCGTAACCCCATTCTTGAGTTCCGGTGCAGCACGCACAACCGCCTCGACGCAGCAAGCCAGAAACTTAACATCTTTCTGCTTCCTGAATTCCCTCAGTCTCATCGAATCCGCGGGCTGGAAAGATCCCATGAGGATGTTACGGACGATGCCGTTGCAGGTAGGGCATTTGAACGGCTTGTGGGTGTGGTCTTGTTTCTTGCAGTTGGCGCCGCAGGGTTCGGTGCTAGAGATCCAGTGGCCGCAGAGGAGGAGGTGTGGGATTTGGTTGCTGCAGCGTTTCATACCGGGGTACTCGGGGATGAAGTGCCGGCTACCGCGGAAGGTGCCCATGTAGCCGACTGGGAGGGCGTTCTCGGGGATGTCTTCTTCGATGACGATCTCGTCTAACCAGTTTGGCAAGGGCTCTGATGGGGGTGTCGTCTGTTGGCGGTCTTGTTGGCGCGGGAGCTGGGAACGAGCACGGCTGTCACGTTCTGGAGATATAGGTGGTGTCGTGTCATTGCGCGGCTCGCTAGTGTCATCGTCTTCAGCGGCTGCACTATGACCGTCTTCTCCGGCTGGTGTCTCGACCGAAGGCCGGATATCATCACCATCACGGGAAGGTGTAGTTGCAGGTATCAGAGGTGACACGGGCGTTGCATCTGGCATATCGATGTCGTCCGACGTGGTAGAAGCGGCTTCGGTCGCGTTGCCCGTCGGCGCACTAAACATGGGAAATGGCGGTGGCGGGATGTTGCTCATTCTCGATGTAGACGTGTTGGTGTTCTTCACTTGTGAGAACAGGTATCCTGATAGTGCAGCATTGGGCGGCGGAGACGGTGTGCTGTTGAACACGCCGCTCGCGTACCGTGTAGGAGGTGCGGCGTGATTGCAGGCGGCGCGGTACGCTGTGCTTTCAGTCGCTACGTCCTTGGTTGATGCGTCGTTGGACGATGTGGTGACGTTCGCGTCAGCGGCGCTCCAAAAACTCAAGAGCTTGCGGATGGGATTAAACATCTTTGCTCTCGACAGGTAATCTTGGTGTGAAACTGTGTGTGGAAGAAACGTTGATAGTCGTGGGTAACGTGTCGGAAAGGGTGGTGAGAGTGGAACAGTGTTGTGAACGAGAGGTCGAGATATGGTGCATTAGGCGCGGGAGCTTTAGCGTCATCAATAACAATACCAAGAATAGTGAATGTGGCGGTTTGACTCTTGCATATGACGTTGTGTCAATATTATTATGGGAGAGTTAGTTCGTGCTTTCACTAAATGCTTCGTGACGGAGCGGGATCCGAACTTGTTGCGACAGGAAAGACATTGCATTGCTCAGGGGTATAGACATGCAAACTGCTATATGCGGCCGCTTAATCTATTTGGTGATATCGTCACCGGGCACTTTAGCATGCTGGAGCGAAGCACCGGTTGGCTCGTTGCTCTGCATAGCTTCCAAGATTTCGAGATCAACATCCGCTCGAGGTCCAGTAAAGTTCTTGCGCCCGTCGATAAACCATTGGAAAGTACTGATGAACAGTATGATGCCGAAAGCAACGACGCAGTAGTCTAGCGTTGTTAGTGAGGCCCAAGCACACTCATACTAAAACTTACTCATGTTGGACGCTGAGACAGGGAGCTCAGGCGGGAAGAGGAACAGAACGGTGGTGATGATTGTGTATGCGATACCGATCAGGTTGGCGATCCAGCCTAAGGGTCCAGGCAGAACGAAGGCCCTAGGTCCAAGCATCTTCCTCCCGCGGCAGACGTTGATTGCGACGGGAATGGCGTAGCTGACGCCCAAGGCGACGACTGAGGATGAGATGAGAGCGTTGAAAGCGCTACTGGACCCAATCAAGATCAATCCAAAGAGAATGGTCAGGGTTGCAGCCAGGATCAAAGCATTGAGCGGTTGGCCAAGTCGTGGATGTACCTTGGCGAAAACCCTGGAGAATGGAAGGCCGCCATCTCGAGCGAATGCATATGTCATGCGACTAGAAGTGGTCATGATGGCAATCTCCGCGAAGAGGATGCAGATCAATGGGAACATCAAGAGGCATGCGGCTCCAGCTTTGCTGCTTGTGGCGTTGTACAAGATTTGTAGAAGTGGGCCAGGAGCTGCAGAGATGATGGCTTCCGCGTCGCCGCCGGACACGAATAGCAGGACCATGAGGAAGATGAAGCCGGTGACAGTTCCGATACAGACGCAGTAGATCATGATCTTTGGACCCTCGACTGACGCATTCGGAATCTCTTCAATCATATGCGCGACAGCATCGTAGCCGGTGAGTCCGAAACCACCCTGGAGCAAGCCCAAGAGCCAGGCGATACCATCAGGCCAGCCCGTCTCATTGATGAACTCGGTGAAGACGAACTCGGCGGAAGCGTAGTTAGGAGATGAGCATGCCAGGGCTGTGATGCAGACGATCGCGAAACCGCCAATGGACCAGATGAAAGCGCCACGATTGACGTAGGGGAGGAGGTTGTTCATGAACGCATTGATGACGAAGGCGATGAGAGTCCAAGCGACGTAAATCAGCCAGACCTGCCATGCGTGCAGCGTGAACTCCGGATGGAACAATGCGATGAGACCAGATATGAGTTGGGACGCGAGGAGGCCTCCGGAGGTAGTCAAGGCGAGCCATCCGGATACGTTGATCCAGCCGGTGATGAAAGAAGCGAGGGGAATCCATTTCCGCGGGGTAATGACGGCAACCCAATGGTATCTGCGATGCGTGAGTTGACGATGCGAAAGCTGACTGAAGGTACTTACTGTCCACCAGCAGTAGGATACGCTGACAGGAACTCGGCCAGCGATGCGGCCAAACACAAGTTACAGATGCCAGCGGTGACGAGTCCCCAGATGACGCTTGTAGAGCCACCAGATGGCAAAGCCAGTCCGATTGACGATGACAGCGCAGTCCACGAGTTCAAGATGGCGAAAGCGAGTCCAAGCATAGACAAAAGACTGAAGTTGCGCTTCAACTCGCCTTTGTGTCCGAGTGCCTGCAACTGGGCTTCATCGTCCAGAGTGTGCCGTTCAACGGGTTTCATGATGGCGTATGCAGGTAGCTACCAGATCCGCGCGACGTGATACCAATGACCGGAAGATGATGATGGAGCAGACACTCTCTATAAACACATGGACGTGAAGATGCGATCCGGAAGGATGCGCGAAGCCGTGCTCTTAGCCATGCGGCCATTGACGTCGGCTGCACCGAACAGGCATGGCGACCAGGTCAGTGGAAGCTTGTCAATGCTTACTTGTGGTTCATCCACAGATAAGAGGCCCGGTGGTGGTCTCCACAGGGGCCAAAACATGGGGTAGAAGCCAATCAGGCGCCATAGCGACGACTATCTCGCGCTGACGAAACGGCGTTACATCGCGCAATTGCACACAGGCCTGACTGGTGTCGGCAAGCGGACGCGACCGTATCTAGCCGGAGATTGCGCGTCAAGAGCGTGTTCTTGGAGATGGGCTTGGAGATATGTGACGAGATCAGATGACAGCGAGTGAAAGGCATCGAGGAGTGCTGACGGAGTATGAGGATGGGGCCCGGGCGTCGGCTTGGCGGTCACGGCTTCTGCCGAAACACCATGATGGCCATACGTCACTTGTTGACTCGATTCCCCAACATCTAGTGCCGAAGACGCAGCGCGTCAATGCCACTCGCATCGTATATTGTCACCAAACCATCCATTAGATGACGCAGGCGTGGAACAGGATGCGCAACAATCGCTCGCAAGACTACGCTCCGCTCCCAATGAGCGAGAAGGAGCCGTCTTCAAACAGATCTCGACGCGAACAGCGACCGAAGGGCTTTGGACGTCGGGTCCTTCTTGTGGTTGGCGCATGCGTAGTCCTGTATTGTGTCCATGGGTACGAAGCACCAATATGCTGGAGCACGCAAAGCTGACAACCACCAGTCTCTTCACTTTCTCTCGTCCCAAGAAGTCGTGCGACACCATCGACGAAGGCTACCGATGTAGTCCCAAGAAATCGCACTTTTGGGGCCAATACTCGCTTTGGTATTCGGTCCCCTCAGACATCGACGTAGCTCCTCCCAAGGGCTGTGAAGTCACGTTTGCGAACGTCCTCTCCCGCCACGGCGGTCGCGACCCAACACTGGGCAAATCGATCGCGTACCACATTCTCCTAGCCGAAATACAGAACACAACTACATCGTACCCCAAGGAATTCGAGTTCCTTAAGGATTATGACTATACCCTGGGTGCGGATGAGTTGACAGATGCCGGAAGGCAGGAGATGGTCAACTCGGGGGCCCACTTCCACCAACGCTACCAGAAGCTGATCAACGGGAACGTACCCTTCGTGCGGTCAGGGGGCCAGCATCGCGTGGTCGAATCAGCGGAAAAGTGGCTTATGGGCGTTGCGCAGTCGCTGAAAGAGGAGCCGCGAAACATCGACGTGGTGATCCCAGAAGGCCCGACATGGAACAACACCCTCTCCCACGACGTCTGTCCCGCCTTCGAGGGCGGCCCACACCACGGTCTCGGACTCAGGGCGCAGCAGGTCTGGGCCGACAAGTTCGTCCCACCCATTCAAGAACGCATCAACTCAGCTCTTGGAACGAACCTCAGCGCGACGTCTATAATCTACCTGATGGACATGTGTCCCTTCGATACACTAGCGCACCCGTCTGCAAAGCTGTCCGACTTCTGCAAGATCTTCAAGGTGAAGGAATGGCGCGAGTATGACTACTTCCAGACGCTGGGCAAGTACTACGGATACAGCGTCGGCAACCCGCTCGGTCCCACGCAGGGCGTCGGCTACGTCAACGAGCTGTTGGCGCGTCTGACTAACAAGCCTGTCGACGACAACACCAACACGAACCGCACGCTCGACTCCGATCCCAAGACGTTCCCGCTCGACCGCAAGGTGTACGCCGACTTCAGCCACGACAACGACATCAGCGGTGTTCTGGCTGCGCTTGGTCTATACAACAAAACAAAGCCGCTGTCCAACACCACAATTGAGGATACAAAGAAGACGCATGGCTACTCAGCAGCGTGGAGCGTGCCTTTCGCAGCCCGACTCTACGTGGAGAAGCTGCAATGCAGGCATGCGAAGGAAGAGTCGGTCCGTGTCATTGTGAACGACCGCGTACACCCATTGGAGTTTTGCGGCGGCGACAAGTTCGGAAGGTGTACGTTGAGTAAATTTGTGGAGAGCCAGAGCTTTGCGAGGAGTGGTGGTCTTTGGGACCAGTGTTACGAGTAGACGCGTCTTTTCATTGCGACTTTCGTATCGTCCATCAGCGTCGAGCATCCAGCATTCAGCATCGCATCATGAGCATTTACGCGGGAAATCATTAGAGAAAGACATCGGGTTATGGGAAAGACAATGCCATTCATCTAACAATCTGAAACACCTTTGTTCCAGCAGCCATGCTGTCATTGATCTCTGGCTTGCCGCACACGTCCAAGTTGTCAAGGACCAACAAATGCTCTGACAAACTTCATCGCTGGCAACCTAATTGTAGCATCACAAATATGGAGGAAACAGCAAGTTCGACAGCGCAAAGGATGTGCCCAGCGAACCGACGTCCCGGTGAGAGGGTCGCAATGATCGACCTGATTACAGACATGATGGGACTGAAGATCAGAATACCAAAGCACATATGGAATGAGTACCATCCTGCCCCCCAGTCCAAAGCTCCCAGCTTTCAAAACCGAACAGGCCTCCGAACAGGCCTTAAAGTCAAGATACCAGCACATATTTGGAACGCCTACCATCCCTCAACTCCGCCAACTCCTTTCCACAAAACAAAGAAGCGACCACGAAAGCTGACCCTCAAGATACGATGCCTGTCATTACCTCCGCCTAACAACAACCGTGGAGTTTTGAGAAATAGGACTACTGATTGCAAGGTAAAGCTATTCCGCTTCCATTACGGCGGACCGAAGAGACAAAGGAAGGGGGAATGGCAGTATAAGATCACGTATGAGACGCCGTGTTTGGAGGTGACGTGTAAGAGTTGCTGGAGGTGGCATGGGCATCTTCTACGCGAGGGAATGTCGATGGAAGGGTAATAATGGGATCTGAACAGACTGGACTATGGCGGGAAGATCAATTCTGTGTTCTTTGGTGGTAGCGGGTTGTGGCAACGAGTAAATAAACGGGTTGGAAGAGCGAAGGAAAGCTTATTTGTGGGCTATATGTTATGGCATCGTAATTATCCTTGGAACGGCTTTTTAAGTATAGCCTGATAGATGCAGTAGTAGTAGTTCCCCCGGCGCATGGTAGCCGAAGTCCGGCTTCGAGACCTCAATACTAATCTCTAATACTACTCTCGTTTAGTAATCTGGCATACATGAGTGAAATATCGGGTGAGCACGTACTTGCATGTATCTTGGAGTGCCATCTGCGGATGCGGGTCTAAGGCGATGAACAGGGATCGAACACCTGTCATGGCGATTTGACCGTAGCAAGCAGGAGCCCTGTGGGCAGTGGTTCACCATCACACGTCACATAAGCCCACAGCCGCACCCAGCCTTAGCAGCCAGATGATATCAATAGCGATATGATATACCCCAAGTAATGCTTAGCATCATTCAAGCTATACCCAGCCATGTGAATAGCAACGGGGCAACACCCGCTCCGGCGACAGGTAACGGTTGACGTCACGACCTCCTTCCATGGTGATACATGTGTTCCCTCACCTCAACCACCTGCCATCAGCTCACATCTAATTCCATCGTCCACTGCACCGGCCCGTCACTGTCGCATCCGCCGGAGGATACCGGTCATCCGTTTGCGGCGAGTATTGCGGCCCGCAAAGTCACGGTCGCAGAGTCCTGCGTCCAGCCACAACAACTTGAGATCGGGATTGCGCCTATGGCCGATTGCGCGGGGTCAACACACAGCGTAATGCGACCGTCAGCACGCCTCATAAAAGCTAGAGGAAGCGCGAAGGTCATGGACTAGGTCTGGCCACGATCGGCCTGTTCAGCGATGCCGTCGTCGAGCCTGGTGCTTACCTGTCTTTGGTAGAGCTGGTATGAATGACGAAGTGTGCAGAAGCCCGGCCGAATACGAGGTATCTTACCCGCACGAAGTAGCCCGCTTTCCGGGGGTAATTCAGCAAGAATTATGGCAAAGGTCTTTGCGATGCTGTACACTGGCTAGCTGCGGAAATCATATACTCCACCTCGCAGCCGTCGTTGCAAGGCGAGTTAACAGAGCTCCTGGCCCGCACCATATCGGATCGCCGTTCGCGCCTCCAAAGTTCCGACCACCTTCCGAACCTTCAGTACCCGATCATCCCAACGAAGCCGCAGAAGCAAGCCGTACCGCAACACCCAACCCGGCCACGGTTCCCTTGATTCCCGGCTGCGTTCGCGTGGACCACATCGGCACGCGCCTCTTGTTCCGACTATGCAGCGCCCGGAGATACTCGCTTCAACAACGCTATCCTGCATACGAGCTGGCGGGTACAAGGTTATGGCTTTTTGTAGAGTTCGGTATGGAGTGGGGTTGACGTTGACTCGAAGCTTGCGGTAAGCCAACGGCGATCATGGCGGTGATGTGCCTCTAGCGCTTCTGCTAACCTCTATCTAGCCTCCACATTGATTATCTACAGTATCCCCGCATTGCGGAGATTGGGTAGCAGGCCAGACGTCCTCTGCGAATCCTATGAACTATCGAACTGGTACAACCTTTGCTGGCTTCGGCTTCCGCGGGGTGCGACTTTTGCCCGCATCAAGCACATCAACAACAACCGAACCCGACCTTGAACGAATCGAGACAGCAACGGACGTTCGCGTGAAGGCAGTGCGGCTGTCTAACGGAGCTATCGCCAGAACGTCCTCTGCCTCAGAAGAGCGCCCTGGGCCCGAGCCGGTATACCCTCCCTTTACCAGCGAGCACCATGCATGTTTCGGCGCGGTCAATCTACGTTATACTCGATTCGGCAAGGTTTCATCTGGAGATCTTGATGCGGAAGAGCGCCCTGCGTCTGTCATTCGCCTGCTTCGCTCTGACAGCCGCTCGCGTGCCCCCATGCAATGCCACAACAGAGTTGCGCGACGATGGTCGGAGGCCTACAGGGACCGTTAGCTATCTTTGTCGGGTCCCCAGTTGACCGTAGACCGGTGTACGCAAAAGCAATGCCGGTACACGATGCTCGCTGATTCTGTTTGGTCTAGCGAAAGAAGAAATGAAGATGGATAAGAGAACGTCCTTTGCGCACGCAGGTCATTTTCGCTTGTACAGATCTGCAGCAGTGGTTTAAGTACCGTGCCGAGACCATATCTGCACCGAGTCCTCAATCGACTTATAGCACTCCTAAGCTTCAACTGCTCATACTGCAACTACATCAGCTTTATTGTCTCTGGTCCGAGCGACTGCATCGCAACATGGCTTCGTTCGCCTACGCAATCTTGCTGGCAATCGGTCTGCTAGTAGCAAAGGTAGTGCAGCGAAGATATCACTTCCGCAACCCACCACTGACGACCACAGTTTCTCTACGTTGGTCTTACCTGTCGGACGAAGCATTTGCCAGGCCCTTGGTATACTCGATTCACTCATTATCGCTTGAAGCGCGCAGTCGTAACAGGGCAGCGCATCTTTTATATCGACTCCCTCCACGAGCAATATGGACCCATTGTACGACTATCGCCTAATGAGGTTGCCGTTGCCGACTTGGATGCCTTTAAAGAGATTCACAAGATTGGCACCAAGTACATGAAGAGCGAATGGTACCTCCGCCTAGCGAACTTCCCCAAGGCCGGTGTGTTCACCATGCTTGACCCACGTGAGCACGGACCGCGGAGGAAGCTGTTGTCCAGATCTTTCAGCAGGACATACCTTGTTGAGCATTGGGAGTCTGTCGTCAGGGACAAGGCGCTCATGGCTGTTACAAAGATCAAGGCGGATGCTACGCAAGCGACAGCCGACGTGTACAACTGGTGGATGCTTCTGGCCTCGGACGTTAGCGCTCACCTCGCATTCGGCGACTCATTCAACATGCTGGAATCGGGAGAGGTATGAAGATGCGACTATGGTTGCACACCAGAGCTGACAAGCCATAGCAAAACCAATTCATGCGCGTACTGAAGAAGCTGACAATGGGCGCTGGCATCATGGTCGAGATGCCATTCCTCCGCCTCCTGCGCTTCGTCCCAGTCCCAGCGATCCAAGAAATGTTCAACGCAAACGAGTTCATCCTCGCCGGCGCAGGCAAAGCCGTCGAAACCGCACGCTCACGCACCGGCGAAAACAACATCTTCGCAAAGGTCATCGAGGACTGCGAGAAGGAAGGAGAGGGTCACATTGACGACATGGACGTCAGAATCGAAGCCATGAACGTCATCATTGCAGGCACCGATACGACAGGCGTGACCCTGACGTACCTTACATGGGCGGTGCTTCAACGACCGGAGCTGCAAGCGGCGCTCGAGACTGAGACCGCGGCGCTAGCGCATGACTTTACCGAAAACGATCTCATAAAACTTCCGCTGCTCAACGCGGTTATCGAAGAGACGCTAAGACTCTACGGTGCGGCGCCAAGTAGTCTGCCGAGAGTTGTGCCTCAAGGTGGTACCAAGTTCGCTGGTCACTACATCCCGCAGGGTGTCACGGTCGACACGCAAGCGTATACTTTGCATCGCGACCCCAAGATCTGGAGCGACCCTCTGACGTAAGTCGTGCCTTTGCACTTCTGTCGCAATAAAAAGCTGATCCCCGGTAGTTTCAACCCACAACGCTGGATCGCCACTGATAAGGAAATGGTGCCTGAAGCGCTATCACCTGAGGCGAAGCTCGCTTTCCACCCCTTCGGCGCCGGCGCGCGCTCGTGTATCGGTATCCATCTCGCGCGCATGGAACTGCGGTATGCGACTGCATTCTTCTTCCGCGAGTGCCGTGGTATCCGGTTGGCGGCCAGCACGACGCCTGAGAGTATGGAGTTTGAGGTAAGTTCATGCATGCGTTTGTGGGACGTGCGTGTGACATGTGCGCTAATATCTGGTGTTAGAACTTCTTCCTCATCGCACCGAAGGCGCATCGGTGTGAGATCACGTATAAGCAGGGGCGTTAGTAGAGACATCATGTTTCACAATGGCATGATAGTGTAGACTGTTTGTAATGTTGAATCAGATTGACATCATGAAAAAAGCCTCTAAGAGCGCAGTGTTCGTATCCGTATCCGTGATCGCGGTTAACGTCACTACGGTGCGCCGAACGCCATGTTATGCCATGTATTCCGAACCATTCTCCCAGTCTCTCGTGTAAATCACCTTCCTTCGTGTAACTCACCATGAGTCATGTAGATGCGCCAGACTGCCGGCGCGTTAGCTTGGATTATCCCGGGAGCGTGCATGTGAAGTACTTACCGTCAGAAGAGCTCTACAAAACAATGCAAACAACACCGTGCTCCCGCGCCTTGTCCATCTTGACGAGCTTCTTGTTGTACTGCTCTTGTGTCTCTTCCTCTTCCGCATGGGCAGCAGCCTGGGCAGTGGCAGCTTGGGCGGCAGCGACAACAGAGGCGATCTCAGCAGCGGCGGCGGCAGCAGTAGCGGCATCAAGAGCGGCGAAGGCGGCACGCGGTGGGTGCATGCAGTGGCCTTCTGTGTCGACCATGCCGGCTGAGGCAGGTGCGACGATGGCGGTGTTGGCGGGGTTGGTTGAGTCGGTAGGGTTGAGGGTGGTGACGGGCGCGGCGACGGCGGCGCTGGCTGCGGCCGCGATGAGGAGGATGGCTGGGGTGTGCATTTTTCTGGTTTGGTGGGTGTGATCGGGTTTGGGTAGTTGTTTGGGTAGGGTAGGTGCGTTTTAGTCTTGGTGAGTAGGTCTGGGAAGGTAGCTTGCAGTTCTTGTCTAGAATTGCGTTGTGTGAAGTGAGTGAAGGAGAGATGGAGGAAGCAAGTGGAAGGTGAGACGATATACACGGCAAGTTGTGTGGGAGGCACTAAGCTACTTTCCCCAGTTTGGAAGCGACGAGCGTGCGCGGTCATGGGGATATTGGGGAGCGTGGGGAATCGTGGTTGGGGAGGGAAGGTGCGATGGTACGATGGTACGGTATGGGGCAGTCTAGTGCGGTGGGTATGGGAGCCAGTCGCAGTGAGGGTGTTGCGGATGGGTGTGGTGAGCGCTTTGTGCGCGATACGCAAATATGGGGTATGATCCGCGGGTAGATATTGAGGGTGTGATTCCCATAGTTGAATGTATCGTGTTCTGCGGGCGTCGTGGTGCGGGCTTCTTGCGAGATGTTGGGAACTGCGGTCGCTACCAACCTGGCTTCATACATCGCGAAAATGATTGGGTAGCTGGCAAACGATAGTATCGGAAAACTTCCAGTCGCTTTACGCAGCCATGGTATGCTCCACGGATAGCATTGGAAGGCATGGTTACGATGGTCGCACCAGTCGTATTCCTCAACTGTGGGAATGCGGTTTCTTAGTGAGGCCATGAATACCATTGTCGCTGCCACACTGGCATGAGATATCGGATACGTTATTGGACGGCTATGGAGTATCATTTTTTGCATGCTTCCAATTTTAAGAGCTTTGGTATGCATTGTGGATAAAGTAGATCTAAGTGGTTGAGCGAGACAACATTCCAAGGGTAGCGAAGAGGATTTCGAAATTCGTGCCCACACACCACCAACATAGTTCCGTGCGCTACCGCAGCAGAAAGTGAGAGTATCTCTATATAAACCTCCTCATCTATCCTAACTACTTAAAATATTCCATCTTCATCCCAAGACATCTACAACAAAGTATCTCAAAGTCAAAGATCGAAGAAAAATGCCTGCTCTCACCACATCCGTAAGCAATTCATTTTACAGCTGTTTCATGAAGTATAGACTAACATGCCTGATTCCTTCTCAGACCACCCCGGCAGGTTTTACATATACCTCCGTCATCCTGCCTCCCAGCGGGATGCCTATCCCCCAGGTCACCGTGGCCGACGAGCCTACCTGGCCCGAGGTCACTGCCTGGTCCACCTCCGTCATCCTGCCCCCCAGCGGGTTCCCCATCCCCATGGTCACCGTGGCCGACGAGCCTTCCGAGGCTACCACCACCGCTGCCGCCGCTGTCACCGAGGACAGCACTGACGCTACCACGGTCATCGTGGAGACAGATGAGGCTTGGGAGGCCAAGCTCCTCGAGGACATGAAGGTCGCTGTAAGTCGTGCTTTGAATGGGCTTGATATGGTCTCTGCTAACGATCATCTAGTCGATGAAGCGGACCCAGCGCAAGGAGAACAAGAAGAGGTGCGGCAAGAAGCGGTGCTCTCCTTGCGCCATGATGTAGGCTGTCTGCATTGGCGAGCTGGGACTGGTTGGGAGGGATAGTGGAAGGGGGTTCCGTTGTTTGTTAAATTTCTGTTGTGATCTCTGAATTCATATCTATTGTACCACTCAGAAGCTTTTTCTGTATGACTGATACCGTGAGCTTGATTGTTGGTGAAGGTGAAGGTTGTGGCCACCAGCCGAGATGCCGCGAAGCTAGCGTCGCTTACTAATGTTGCTGCCTGATAATGTGCACCTGGCTTGCGACACCTCCGGCGGTCACTCCGCATCAGACCATGGCAAAGCTCACTGATCTATCCAACGAATTGCTCTATTCTATTGTCGCACATCTTGAGACCGGTCGCTGGTCGGATGTCAGAGCACTATGGCAATTATGCAAAACATCCCGCGCGCTGGCAGCTGTTGCGCAACCAGCGCTCTACACCTGCGTGGTACTAGGACAGTCGATGCCCGAGACCATGAGATCTCTTGAGCTCTTCTTGCGGACCTGTGTCGAACGCCCCAAGCTCGCAAAGAAGACGCGATCGCTCACTTTACATTACCATCGACCAGCCCCGTACAAAGGACCCGACCTTATGCGCCATCCCACTTTCTCAGAATTCTCGAAATTATGGCAAGTTCAGAATTTCGATAGCGAACGGAACGTGTTGTATCAGACGCTTGTGTTATACACACTTCTTTGTCTGCCCAATCTACGGCATCTTCGTATGGATACACACAATCTGCCTCCTCGCGGACTGCTGCAAGGGATGCATGCGATGAGAGCTTCGAGTGACGCCTTCCTCGCTAGGTTGGAGACGTTCCATTTGTAAGTCTCACCAATTCCTGCGCATGTCGCTCTCGCTCAACATGGTGCAGGCACAAGCATTTCGACAATCAACCAATCAACATAGTTGACTACATCCCGCTCCTGCGATACCCATCGTTCAGTTCATTCTCTACTGAGATCGAAATATCGGACGGTAATGATGTTCATCCTGCCACAAACTTACTCACACCATCGGCAATTGAGTTGTGGTGGAGTCTTGGGCCACTCGCTACAATGCGACAAGCCCTAGACGCATGTCATCGATTGGAAACGTTCAGATTTGTCATCCCAGATGACAGACGTTATGGGGGTATGTTGCCAGACGATATAGGGAGCGAACCCCTCGTCAGTCCACGAGATCTAGGGATTGCGCTGCTGGAAAAGCAGAAGGCGACTCTAAAGACGTTGGAATTACATTACAACATCTGTTACGATACGCGCAGTGCGGAGTTTCAAGAAGACATGGAACAGCACGGCGAAGACTCATTCCACTACGTGTACCCCTCGTTCCGCGATTTCGAGATGTTGTCGCACATAACGATGCAATTCGGCAAACTTACCAAACTTTGCCACCTACCGGAGTCGTTGAAATGTCTCAAGTTGCAGGATTGCCATTTCGACGTCGACTTGAGTGAAGACTGCCTTCGTGGTATGCTTAAGCTCAAGGACACATGGTGTCCGCTGATCGAGCATCTGTCTCTTCAAGGTTTCAATGTATCAGAAGCCATCGACATGATACGGGAGGTTGCGAGATCCGTGGATTTGCGGATCTTTGAGTCACTTGGCAAAGGTCTTGTCTCGTTCTCCAGCCTCTGATCTGGCATGGGGGTTCGTTGTGTCATTTTTTGAGGGTGCATAGCTTTATGATTGTTGCTATTATCTAAGACGTATTAAGAGAACATGCGTGTATCTATAGCGAGCACAAGGTGTTTAGAAAATATATTTGCGTTACTATAATATACTGTGTTGTGTAATCGCGACTGTGTTTAGGTTTAAGCATTAAGATGTTTTTTAAGAACAAAGAATATGCAAATTAGTATATTATATAAGCTTATTATCTAGAGAGAAGAGTGTATAACACGTTATTAGTTAAAAGACGTAGTCTAATCTCTTAATAGTGTGCGAAAGGTTCTCTTTAAAACAGATAAATTAAGCTAGAAATTAAAGATATAACATAAATATAACTCTATCTATAGTAAATTTAGTATCTAAGTAACTTCTATAGCGTTTAATTTATATCTTCTAGCTTATCTTAGTACGTATAGTATATCTAAGCGTTTAAAAATAGTAGTTTCTACTCTTACTTTATTAAGCTAAAAGCTTATATATATATACTTTATACTCTTATACTTCTTAGATAGTAATAAGTTAATAGCTTTACTAGATTACCTCTCTTCTAGTTTAAACTTAGAGTGTTAATTTAACGTTTCTACTTCTAGATAGTATAGTTATAGCGCCTTACTTAGTATATTAAGAAAGAGCTAGTAGCTCTTAGAAGCTATATTACTAAGGTCTTCTAAGCTTAATTTACGTAGCGTTAAGCTTTAATATTATAATATTATTAGTAGATAGTCTAGAATACTATTCTATACTAGATATAATATCTTAAGTGCTAAAATATATTATAGAAACTCTTCTAATATTAATAATAAATGTTTTAAATCTTTCTTATTATATTTATTATAGTTAAAGATAGTAAGAGTTAAAAACTCTAGCTATATAATATAGCTAGTTAATAATATTTATTAGTAAACTAATTTTATAGTATAAACTAGTCTAAAAAGAGTAAAGTTTATTACTAGTATATAAAAAAACGTATTTTTAAAAAAGTTAAAATTCTACGTTTAGAAGTATAGGTGTTAGGTAAACTAAGGCTTAAGTTTTTAGTACTACTACTTTTAGCGTAGTTAAAGCTTTTAAAATTTAAAGTAGTAAAGTAACTATTCTATAAATACTAATATCTATCTATAGTAAAAAGAATTATAATATAATTATATATTCTTAATAGCTTATAACTAACAAAACTATAAATTATAAAGTAATAATAAATACTAAAATATTTAGTAAGTAAAATTATACTTCTATATATATACTCTCTATTCTCTATCTCTATTTTTATTTTATAGCTTATAGTAAATTAGAGATTTAAGACTTATTAAAGTAAATAGTAGCTTAAATCTAATACTAAAGCTATACTAACTAAATAAGCTCTTAACTATATTACTAATACCTTTTTTATAAGTTTTTTTAGCGTTAGTAAGTTTAAAGCTAATTTTATTACTAGTTATATTACTTCTTTCTATATCTATATTAATTATATTTTTATACTACGTTACTTATTAAAGCTTCTATAAACTACTCTAAAACTACTACTAAAAAAGAAACTCTTAGTTAGACTATTTTAGTAATTATTATATAAACTATTATTAAAGCTATTATAAAGGCTATTATTAAAGCTCTTAAGGCCTATCTTACTTATTTTATATTATATTTTAAGACTACTAAGACTATTACTACTATTAATACTATTAAGATTATTATACTACTACTATAAAGGCTTCTAATACGTAGACCTAGACTAAAACCTTTTATAGTTCTCTATTATAGCTAAGTCTTTAAGTAACTTACTAGTAATATATAAAAGTTCTTTTATAAACTATACTTACTTTAAAAAGAGTAATAAAATAGTTATTATATTACTAGCGTTACTTTTTCTACTTAAAGTAATTTATTAATTATTTATACTATCTATACTTATAACTTTATATATAAGATTAAGCTATAAATAGCTCTACTTATAAAGATAAAAGTAGCTATTATATACTAGCGTAAGACGTTTATTAGAATTCTTAGCTAAAGTAATAATAAATAGACTAAAGAAAATAAGGTATTTAAAGCTTACTTTTAGTATAATAATACTATTAAATAGATAGTAGCTATATTAGTGTTCTACTATTATAGTTACTTTTAAGAACTAAGCTATAATAGAGTAGTTATTTTTATTAGCTTAAGTTATATTATATTAATAGCTAAAGATTAAATATAGTAAGACGTTAAAAAGTTTTTCTTCTTAGTAAGGCTTTAAAAGTAATATATTATTAGTTTATATAAAAGCCTTAGTACTAATAGTAATATATACTAAATATATTAAAATCTTAAAATTTTCTAGTAGTTCTAGAATAACTTTAAAGCTAGGCGTTTTCTAATATCTTTTTACTAAATAGAGTTTATAAAATTAGGTATAAGATACTAAGTTAATAATATTATTAATAGTATAGATAATAGATATATATTTAAATAACTAAGATAAAGAATATAGAGTAGAAACTAATCTATATATTAATGCTATAGGTCTATGTATTGCGTAGTATAGGTATAGTCTATAAAACTCTTACTTATAACCTACTTCTTAAGCGTAGAAAATTAATCTTCTTTTTACTAATAAAAGTTTAAAGAGCTATACGTATAGTCTTTAAGACTAATAAGCGTTTTATTATGTATTATAAGCTTAGCGTTTTTAAAGCTTAGATTAAGTTTCTTAATGCTGTTGCTAAGTATTAGGTAACCTTTTAGAATTTAGAGCTCGCTGCGACAACCCTCTGGGTAAAGATTTTGGTCTAGTTTGTTGTAGTAAACGCTTAACTGGAGGGAGTGAAGCTGCGGTGACGAGAGTAGACGTCGATCCAGAGGCTTCCCTTCCCGCTCGAGATTCGTCACGTCCAGGCGAGCCGTGGAATGCATCGTGTGAAACAGGTGCAGGGCACCCTCTGGTATAGGTATGATTGTGTCCCAGCTGTGTCAAGTTAGTATACGAGTATATCACCAAGGGTTCAGCCCTACCTCAAAGACTGCAGGCCAGTCGTCATCGTCAATACATCCTCCAGAACAGGCGCGAGCGCCTCATCGAAGAAGCCCTGATAGAAGGAGCCGATCTCCAGATGTCTGACATGTCTCGCGATAGATCTATTCTTATCCAGTATGCATTGCAGCAGGTTCCTAGTTACTTTCCGCAACCAAAACCCTTCCTGGACAACGATAGCTTGATCAAAGTACAGGTCGGCGGTTCTTCCAAATTCCAGCTCGAAGAAATCTAAATGGTCTTTTACACGGATGCTACGAAAGAGTAACATGTCGGATTCGTCGCGGCATACTCTGCACACACATCGCAGTGAATACAGCGATTTCGCATCGTCGTGAAGCTATGCCGGCTTTGGTCGATTGCATGCTCGGCCAAACTACAAGGGTGCTTACAATCTCTACAATCATGCGAAATAATACCAATGGCAGCCCGAGCAGATCGTGCGCTGGCATGGCTGGTGTTGGGGCAGTCCGAACTCTTGTTTCCGATGAGGGAGATGATCATCAACGGTGAAATGACACCGCTATTCGGGGGCGGCATTCAATGCATGGGATGGGAACAATAAGCAGATAGGTGAGTTGGAGATATTGGTTGTTGTTCTGGGCTGAGGCATGCGACGTGTTGGAGGTGTGAGAGTTGACCGTTTACCGCTGCACTAGTCCTGGTCTGGTAAAGCGTTGCTTCTAAAAGCGGGGCTCCACATGACAGTGTCGCCAGCAGCCGTCCCGCCTACGCGCCCCTCTTCACTGCCCTCCTGAATATCCAGCATGCGCTGCTCTCAGAGCCTAACAGGATGTTAATCGCACACCTTATGCGCACATAGTGTTGCGCATTTGTTATGTAGTTCAGATGCGACAGCTAGTCGTTTCTTTGAAGTTGCATGTCCTGTGGGTAGCCTCTGATCCGATCTTCCCGGTGGCCAGGTCCGTTCCGATCACGAACTACTCCCGCGGCCCGCCATAACATACCTCGATCTTCCTACGGACCACTCTGCATCTACATGATGCAGTCGTTTTCGATTTGGCCATCGCTGCATGATACACCAACATGATCTTTACAGTGTACGGAGATCCCTTTGGGAAACCCCAACGCCGAGATCGAGTGAGCTCCTCGGAGCTTCTCATGGACCACTCGCATGTCTGACTGCATCTACGTTATGCATCCGTTCTCGATTGGACCACTGTTGCATGATACACTAAGCATGAACTTTGCAGTATACAGAGATCCCTTTCGAGAATTTCAATGCCGAGACCGAGTGAACTCTTCGGATGTCCTCCCTTTGAAAGGGACGAGTGCTCACAGTTCGGAAGATTCGAGTGGCTTGCGTCCGTTGGAAAGGAGTAGAGGTAGACAATCGTCATTGTAATGTTGTCGAGCTTGCAACGTCTGTATTTGAAGCCCCCGTCATGACTCGAGGAAGCGGTCTTTTCGCATTCTCTATCTACCGTTGAACTTTTGTCATTCGCAAGGCGCTTTTTCGCTCAGTATGGCTTTCACAATCGAAACTGGACTGCAGGTCTGGACAATCGCTTTATCAGTCAGCTCGATCGCTTTGTCTACCATCGCGGTCATCTTACGTCTCATGGCCAAATACATCCGTAAACGAATCGACGCCAGCGACTACTGCATCATAGCAGCTTTGGTACTACATCCTCACCCTTCATCTTCATACTGCATCTGGACGCATCGTATAGACCACGTCGATTCGAGATACATTGTGTAGAAGAGAGGCGCTGACGTGACTTGACAGGTGTTCAACCTAGCAACAAACTGCAACCACTTATACCTCGTCTTCCACGCAGGCTATGGCCTCGAACTCACAACCCTCCTACAGCGTTTTGGTATCCTCAATATGCGCATCCTCTCGAAAGGCACATTAGTCGCGGTGTGTACTTGGCATGTCACTGCCTGCCTGTCCAAGCTCTCGGTCCTGCTCATGTACACTTCGATCATACCCAACGCATCCATGCGCGTAATATGTCGCTATTTCGGCGCGACGATCGTCGTATGGACAGTGGCAGATCTGATTGCAGTATTGTCGATTTGCAGACCGTTCAACATGGCATGGATCAACGCAGACAAATGCCCTAACCAGACTCTGTTCTATTTCATCATGGGCTTACTGAATCTGATCATCGATACAATCATCATCGCACTTCCGATGCCGTATCTGATCCGCCTGCGGACGTCATGGCGCAAGAAGATCGTTGCTATTGTCTTGCTAGGAATGGGTATAGTGTACGTATACCAGACAGACTTCCATCGCCTGCAACATGCTGACATGAACCCTAGGACCTGGGCCATTACCATCTATCGCCAAAAGTGCTTGTGGGGTCTAAATTGGCGAAAGGTCAATCGATACTCGGACATGGCGATCGCCATGTTCCTAGGTGGCCTCGAGTGCGCAGTCATGATCGTTGTGGCTTGCATACCGCTCATGCGCCCTCTCTTTTCGAGAAGCAAGGCTCGCAGCCCGCCGAACCATGGCGACAACCTCAACTCGGGGGCGCATCTAGAGAAGGCAAACAAGAAGGCGGCAGCTAAGCTTCCTCGATTGCTCGATCCGCCGTCCTGGTTCGACAATGAGGACGATGCCGATGCGCAGGTCGAGCTACAGGCAAAGAAGGATGTGCAGATGACGGATGCAGAGTCTTCTAGTTCCTCTGACATCTCGCGCACGCCAGTCGCCCCGAAAGAGACTGTCGTGGATAAGAAGATATGGGCAGCGCCAGTATGCTGGGATGCACCTGAGGAATGTCGTAAGCAGGGTCCGCACGAGCCACCCATTGTGCATGCAGATGCGCTTTGATCCGACCGGGAGGATTGCTCGCCAGATTCAACCAACACCGATCTTTACTGTCGTTTTCTATTGAATGAATACGCGTTATACCAAAGGAATCTCTTAGTGGTACTGTCGCTCGTGATGAAATCGCGCAAATGTTCATGCCGTAATTTTCATTCAAACCTCACGTACCAGGCACCACTCAGAAAAAGATCAATGAGTCGTTTGCTCGAGTCCCGAAGAAGATGGTTGTAGGCGAGACGCCAGCCAGAGGCATATTCTGTAGTCCAGCTGGTGGCGACATGGTGGTCGCACGTGTTTGCGCGTTGCGTGTTTGCGGGTAGGCACGTAACGTGGCGGCATTGGCGGGTCGCGGGAACGGGAACCCCGACAAGGCCCGCCCAAAGCTGAACACCATACCACCGTATCACCACACAGCGATACGAACCCATACGTCGCTCTCGCCTCACGCCCTTCGCTCGCGATTTGATAATGTAGGGATAGCATGGAAGCTTTGCGGAGCTCCTCGAACGCGCATTGGAGCCCATTAATCGTCAAAGCTCCAGGGCTGCTCGCGAACCAGCACGACGTCACATCCTCACCACCATGGCTGAGACGATCACACATGAGGATTGGACTGCAGGAGTTACTGCCAGAGATATGCGACGAGTCCCGAGCCTGTCCAATTTGCTTAGGCTACAGTCCCACGAATGGTAGAGATTTCTTTGCACCCCCCCTTACACAGGTGCCGCTCCCTAGACGCTACACCCCCATTCCTCGGCTGCCACGACGAAGGCGGCATCTAATAACGACTGGGCTGTGTCTAATACTAGATCTACTACTGTATGTGACACCACCATCTCTAGAACTTGTCAAGCTGACTCATGACTACGGAAGGTCGTCTCCACATGAGAACCATCGTCGCATGCGCCGTTTCATCGTCAGAGTCCCGACACTACCTAGGTAGTCGCAACCTGCATACATTACGCTACCGACATCACGCGAGCATTATATCGAATACACGTTCGCATCAAGCCCAGAATCCGCGTGCGCGGAGGCCTTCGATCGTGCCTCTGAACCCAACGACCTCCCCAGCGTCTATGCCCAGCTCCTCTGGGCTCACAAACTCCTCGGTGACCTCCCAAGGATCGCAAGCCTCGCCATACTTGAACTGGAGCGCCAGTTCATTGCCCACATCGCCGTAAAGCTTGGTCACCGTCTCCATACTGAGCTCAGCAAAGACGCAGCTCTTGCAAGTGACTTCCGACCATACATCGACCATCTCCTGGTATGTCATCTTCTCGAGCGCAACATTCGCGTATCTACCATAAGCCCTGCCGCCAGTAGCAAGGACTTGGCGGACCCAGATGCCGGGGTTGACTGTCATATCGCCGGCTACAAGAACTTTGGCGTCGGGCTTCGTGGGCATCGCTTGGATGTATTTGCCGGTGCCAGGCTGGATCAGGTGTCAGTCAAATGCGCCCATATGAGGAGGGACCAGCCACGCTCACGTATTCGAAGGGCTTGCAGAGTGGGAAGAAAGCCATGTTCTGCGGATAGTATCCGAAGTACAGGTAAGTCGTGATGGCAGCAAGTTGTGGCAACTCGGCCTTGATGCGCGCGTCCACGTTCGCCTTGTAATCCATGTGCGGCGCTTCCATCTTGCCCCAAAACCGACGCTTCGCGCTTGGACAAGTCGACCAGATGTAGTGTTCGACTGACCGTGTGGCCGCGGCAGCCCGAGCGAGGTTCATGCCATGGCGCTCTTCGATCTCGCCACACTCATGCTGGCTTTTGCCCCGGAAGAGCGCTTCCCACCAATTGGTGACAGCAAATACGGCATTCACGCCATCGAAGGCGACTCGCAACGATGCTTCGTCTTCGAAATCGGCTTTTACAACCTCAATTCCCTCCGCTGCCAGCTTCTTCGCCGCATCGCTGTCGGGGTTTCGAGTGATCGCCCTGACTGTCCACCCGCGCGTCTTGTTCATGATGTTGACTACTCCGCCACCTTGGCTTCCTGTTGCGCCAGTCACAGCGATGATCTTGTTGCCCCGGTTCGGCCAGTCGTGGATTGTACCTGGCAAACCGCTCTTCTCTCCATGCACCATAGCAAACCATGGCTCGAAGACAGCCTCACTACGCTTCGAGAAAGCTCCATTCTTGTAACCCGGATGTCCCCATTCCGTCAGTCTGTCGTGCGCTATCTCGACAACTTGCCCTGTCTTCAAGTTCCTCTCATCATCCAAAAACAAATCGTAACCGGCGAAGAGAGTCGATTGCAGCATCATGTGCTCGGGATGAAAGGCTTTGCTGAAGCCAGGCATGACTGGAGTTTCGATCGGACCGAGCATCAAACAGTTGATGGAGATGTTGTCTTTGGCTAGCAGAACGGGTCCGGTCGTCTTCGTCCACATCGCTGTCGCGGCTTCGGCCGAGCAATATTCTGGAAAGCTGTGGCATGGATATATGCCAAGCATGCTTCCTGTGATGACGATCTTGCCGCCTTTGCCTCCTGGGTTGTGGCGCATATAGTGTGTTGCCAACGTCATGCCATACATTCGTCCTTTCACGACGACGTCTGTACAGCTAGTGTCTGGTTCTGGTGGCAAGTCGTCGATGGGCGCATCGCGGCGGTTGAGATTGAACACGGAGCCACGATCAGGGAAGCCCGCGTTCGCGATCAGAACGTCCAGGCGACCCCATCTGTTCCATGTGGTTTGGAAGAGGTTGGTTTGCGAGGCGTACGAGCTGACGTCGCATTGGACAAAGATAACCGAATCTCCTGTCGCATCGATTGATGCGGCAACTTCTTTGCCTTCGCTTTCACGTCGACCGCAGATAGCAACGCGATATCCTCTCGCTTGTAAACGGGCTGCTAGCCAGGATCCAATCCCGCTCTGTTAGAATCTGTTAGCAAGCTCGGATCGACTACGGCAATGCGATGTGACAAACCGTGCCACCGGTGATGATGGCGACCTTGCGCTCATCCTGCGAAATGGAACCCATGGTGTTGACGATGGGTATTGGGTTGACGGCATGCGGCGCATCTTAGAAGGATGAGCCATCATATGTAACAAGCAACGGCAAGACCATGCGTGGATACGATTTTGGCTATATGCATGCGCGATAACTCTTGGTCCCCATCTTTGATCTGTACTGGGGCGCGGCACTTCCCACATTGCACCGAGAGTAGCTACTTCGCGTCCCTCAAGAAGGAGCAATTGCTTTTTCGTATCATCTCTCCGAGCCGTTGGCCGGAGGATTCGGCAGCTGCAGGAGTTGGCGCGTCCAGCGATTTTGCATTGCCGTGTTGGTCTGAACGTTGGCGGGAACCAGGATTCACGGGACCCAGATGCCCGTACAAGGTCCGGCATGCATTCTTCGCTAGTTTTGATAACGAGTCTTCAAACCTTGCAGGCTGATTAGACGTCGGCCAATCTGCTGGAACCTATATATCAGATTTCGACAAAGATGTATCGCTTGCAGGCGAAATCAAGGACGCGGTTTGCCCGCATCCGCGCTAGCTTGGCATTGCGGCACGGCATCCAACCAGCTACTGGAGAGCAGGTGGGGGGACGCTACGTGTGGGGCGACTCCAACGTAACTTCACGTATATATGTACAAGGTATACGATCCTTCGTAAGGACAGAGACCGTGTCGCGCAGCGTTCCCTATCACAGCCTTTGCCGTGGGGCAGACTCTACATCGGTCAAACGACACATGTGCAGCCACAATCTGATAGCCGCAGCAAGCAACCTTGAAACGTCGGGCCTGCGAAGCTCTCTGAAGTTCATTGGCGGCATAGCAATTTTGTACTCAAGATGTACAAACGCGCTGTTCACTGATTTCTTCAGCTGCCGCCATCACCCGAAGTTAGGCCGCCGCGAAAGCACCAACAAAGGGCAATACGCAACATGCAAGGGCGCGGTGTGCGATACCATTCTCATTGGTCTTCAGGATACCGCTCATTGCTGTTGGTTATCAGTCTTTAACAAATGCTGGCTGGACCAACGTGATCTCAGCCGCTCTGAGGATTCGAACACCTGTCAGTGACTAGGAAGCACTTCCATCACTGTTTGCCATGCCAGGTCTGTGCATACATGCTTCTCCAATCGTAGGGGAGTGGGATAGTAGGTAGCTTCTGATCGGTAGTCCCCCATCGTCGGGTCCGATGGTACCTGTTCAAGCCTCCACGCTCCTCGGACATTCTCACGCCACGGTTCCACCAAGCAGATCTATCTCGATGGCCGTCATGATTCCAATCGAGAACGGGCAACAAGTCGGTATCCTCTTGACTTCTTCCATCTCTATCCTGATGGTCATTGTCGCTGTGGGTCTGCGACTGGTAGCCAAGAGGATCGCGAGCCGGATTGATTACAGTGACTATTGCATTCTTGCTGCCTTGGTAAGTCAAGCTTGGGAAACAAAACAACTCCGTGCTAACATATTCATTAGGTATGCAACACCGCGCTGCACGCTTGCTGCATCTCGCTGGTCACATATGGCGGCTTTGGCTTCCATACCACGGATATCCATCAGCGCTTTGGGCCTGACACGGCAACATTTTTCTTTAAGGTAAGACCAGTTACTGTTCTCTCACATTTGCAAGCTCTAACATGTCGTGTCGTAGGGCATCATGTCATTTGCAATACTGTGGAATGCGACCGTGTGCTTCAGCAAACTGTCGGTCCTATTAATGTACACAGCACTGATACCGATAGCATCTATGGTGCGATGGGCCCGTATTTTCGGCGCTTTGATCGTAGCCTGGAGTGTCGCCGACGTAATCGCCGCTCTCGCGATATGCCGGCCACTGGCGAAGAACTGGAACTTCGCACTACCCGGGACTTGCGGTGGTCAGCCGACCTTTTACTTCGCAATGGGTGTCATCAACCTCATCGCAGACGCCGTGATGATCTTACTACCAATGCCATATTTGTACAAGTTGCGTATGACGTGGCGCAGGAAGTTGGCTGCGATGGCACTCCTCAGCATTGGAGTGGGGTGAGTGCACGCCTGCGCCCACGCAGTCGTACTGAACTCGTGCTGACCTGTCGCGCAGTACCTGGGCCATCACCATATACCGCCAAACGCTGCTACCGGGTCTCGACTTCTTCGACATGACATACACCGGTGTGCTCGCCACGATCCTCTCCGGCCTCGAGCCCGCTGTCGCCATCGTTCTGGCGTGCATTCCTCTTATGCGCCAATTGTTTGGGAAGTCAAACCACGCCACACGATCCAGTTTCGACTACGACAGTAGCAAAAAGACTAGTATCTTCTCGAAGAAAGGGAGCAGGAGACATGACGATCCGACGGCGACTTTCTCGGAGTTGGTGGACGATAATGATGCTTCTTCGCAGATTGAACTGCAGCCGGTCAAGACTTGTCAGGTTGTGCGTGTTTCGTCGGTGTATAAACATGATAGGGAGCAGAGGGTGGCTGATTCGAAGCATGCTATTACGGTTGAGAGGAGGTGGGAGGTACGAAGAGATTAACTCGGAGGTTGTTGCGTGCGACGACAATAACCCTAGTCAGGTCGGCTCGAACCGGCAATCCACTAGTCAAAGCTGCTCTCCAACTCTTTGCGAACGTCGAGTAAGTAGCCGATGCGGCATGCCTCATTGCGCATATCGGCCCCGTGATGGCAGGCCACGCTTTCGCGCCTTCACACAAACTGCGCGACAGTAACAGGATGCGACCGATATTCCCGGCGGTCTCTATCAACTACCGCCCCTCCTAAAGCATGCCTGCTATCTGGAAACGCTTCCATGCGGCACGGCGGCCTTTCTTCGTCTACCGAAGGGCGCCCGACCAATAGGACGAAATACCATGTGGCACAGTTGCATCACGCGTGCAGCGCATACACCCGGTAGACCTTCCTGAGCGGCTAATCTTTGTGATGTCATGCGGGGAGAATCTCCCGCGCAACAGCACCGTTCTATCTGGCTCTCTTCCAGAGCAGAAGACCTCATCCATCCTCTTTCGCGACTGCCTACATCATGTCGGACACCCTATATTGCGATCCTTGTCAACGCTTCATCCGCGGAGATATCAATGTCACCATCGACGGCTACAACACAGTAGAGTTCAACCATCATGAAAGTTTCGAATCCTTCCAGAAGGCGATACAGCTTCGATGCTTGATATGTATGCTTGCTTGGCATCGAGCTTCACTCAGACCAGACGCTGAATCTAATTGGGAGGTGGGAATGCAAGGGGAATATTACTACGATAACGAGGATTGGGACGACTATCGCTCATTGACTTTCTGGTTCCGCGAAGATGGCGTAAGAAGGCAATCTAGTGAAACCCTAGTTTTTCGAGCATACCCTAGTAAGTAGCATTTCCCTCACTGGTCAACAGATACTAAAACTGCAGATAGTTTCGAGTAAGATAAAAATTGCAGAGAGTATTTCGTCGAACACGGGAGCAGATTCTGCTCTTGCATTCGCCGTCGATAAATATCATCGTTGTCGTGGCCTACACACGAGTTGTAGGATTCCACAGATTCTCAAGTCGGCTTGTTATCCTTCCAGGCTCCTGGATCTCGGGACCGAGCTACTTGATCCCATCGTAGTGCGCGATACGCAATCGTTCCGTACTGAAGAATACGCTTGTCTGTCACACTGTTGGGGGTTATACAAACCGCTGACACTAAATGCCACGACACGTTCGGCATTACAATCGGGCATTCACGCTGATGAGCTTCCAAAGACGTTTCAGGATGCTGTGCTCGTCACTCGTCGCTTGGGCGTCCGGTACCTCTGGATCGACTCACTGTATGACTCTACGATCGCGCGTTACAACATTTCGAAGCTGACAAATCTAGCTGCATACTTCAAGATGACCGTGATGATTGGGCATCAGAATCGAGTCGGATGGGTAGCGTCTACGCAAACGCTGCCTTCACTATCGCAGCCACTGCTGGGGTTGATAGCAGGTGCGGTCTTTTCGTTGAAAGATGCCCCGAATCACTCTTACCCCACCGTGTAAACATCCAATTTGGGCCCACAATGCGTGGAAGGCGGGGATATCGGAAGGACGTCGAATTCCCGTTGAGAGGTACTTACCTTTGCGATATAAGTCACAGGGTTCTAGTTGGTATCGAGGAAGCGCCACTGAACGAGAGAGCTTGGGCAAGCCAAGAGAGACAACTTTCAAGACGAATCCTTCACTTCACTGAGACACAAATCTTCTGGGAATGCTGCAAGGACTACTCGAGCGAGATATATCCAGATGGCTTACCGCTCTGGACGCGAGCGCTTTGGGTATTCGACGCTACCAAACTGAAAGCTGAACTTAGTCGCATTATCGAGCAAAGCGCAAACGATATTCCGAAGCCTTTTGGATCATTGGAACTGGATCGGTCGATGAGTTATGAGACCTATTTTGCCTGGCTGACATACAGAGACCAGTATTCGGGCTTCGCTCTAACGAATCCTAATGACAAGCTAGTAGCGATTCATGGTATTACAGAATGGGTTACTAGATTAACAGGGGAGCGATTCATTGCTGGCCTTTGTGAGGATCATATCGAGGAAGAGCTCTGCTGGGATGAGAAGAGGGAACTCCCGCTGACAGAGCCTGACACAAGGCCTACGAAATGGAGGGCCCCCACATGGAGCTGGGCTTGTACCGACTGTCCAGTCTTACTCAGCCAATTGACAAAGCGACATGGGGGCCATGCGAGCCGCCAAATTGAGGCCGAGTGCGTGAAGAAGCATGTCACCGGAAAGATATCGGGGGAACTAGAGTCCGCCACGATCGAGCTAAAGTGTAAGCCAGTGCCAGCGACCATCACTGAACTGGCGCTATGGTCATCAAGCGACATGGTACTTCGTCTGTTCGATCAAGACGGAGACGTAGCGAGTCGCAAGTTGACACACCGATTTCGACGTGGCGAGGTTCAAACGTTCTGCGAAGTATTCTATCTTGAGAAGGCGAAGATCGACAAGGAATCGCATGAAAGACAATCAAGTACGGATGGCTATGTCGTACTCATTCAGCACTGTGTCCATAGCCAAGACTCAGCAATGAACCGAAGTCCCGACGTTTCAGAGAATGAGGACGAAACAGACTCTGAGTCAGAGGAAGAGCCGTATGAGAAGGATAGCGCCGAAGCTTTGTTTTTACAGGCACATGGCGACAATACGTTTGTAAAGGTGGGACTGCTCTGTTTTGACGGGGATCGTGGCGTCAAGCAAATTCTCGAAGCGCATCGTCTCGCAGAAGAGAGAGTAATTACTCTTATTTGAGCCAATCACCAGCTGCTATCAATTCTTCGCTGGGTCATTCACAGCATCCTCCATCGTCACTATAGTTTCTCCATCGTAGGGTCTCAACGCCTCACGCGCTTCTGCAGCCTCGTCCAAGAGCAGTTTTCTGATCGCGTCCGAGCGAGGAATAAATCGCACACGGAAAGGCTCTGGTCGCATGTTCTCGCTGTCAGTGTATGCGAAGATGTCCAAATCGACCTCATTCCGCTGTCGCAATGTGTCAGTGGCGCAAACTTTCACAGTTTGGGCGAAGGTTTCAAGGCGCTTACATTCTCATCCACACCCGGCAGAACATCAAACGCCCAGATCATGCGCGCAAGAGAGTAGAGCAGACCTTGCTCGGCAAGCGGCTGGCCGCTACATTGCCTGCGGCCCCATCCGAAGGGGTTCATGCCGTACTTGTTCGGATACGGTTGCTTCGCACTGCCTTCGCCTTCGAGGAACCTCTCAGGTATGAAACGGTCCGGACCGGGAAAGTCGCGCGGATGTCGGTGTATTGCCCACATGTTGCCGGTGAAGTTGGTACCGGCGGGGAAGTGGTAGCTTTTGTAATCGAAATCGACGGTGTTGGCGTGGGGGATGCCGGCGAGTATCGTTACGGTTCTCCATCGGAGGGTTTCTTTGATCTGTGGCATGTGAGCAGTGAATCTGACGTTTGTTATCCTTGCAACGTACTATCGCAGTCAAGTATGGAAGCGCGTTTGAATCAATGTCATCCCAGTTCGGAGAGCGACTATGACCGACGACTGCATCAAACTCAGCATGTGCTTTCGCTTGTACTTCCGGGAAGCGCGCCATGGCCAGGATGCACGAGAGCATTGTACTGCTAGTCGTGTCTACCCCACCACCTATCAGATTGCCCATTAAGCTCGCCACCTCGAGATCCGTCATGTGGCTGGCTTGCTGAGACGCCAAAACCTGCTTCCCAAAGTTATCTTCCTTCGCTTCGGCGCCTTCTTGCGTAAGCAAGTAAAAGTAACGCGACAGTATACCAGAACCCAGTCGCATCTGGCTCGGCAACGCGTAGAGCCAAGCAGGCAAGTGCATCAAGAACGGAACGGCTTCCATGAGATAGATACCAGGGACGATATAGTTGACGGCTTCCATCAACTTGAGAGCTTGTTGTGCACCGTAGTCGTTCTTGCGATCGATGCGACGACCCCAGCCAACAATCGAGGTGATGGATACGGAGTAGCGCTCGATGGAGAGCTCGAAGTCATGCGATTCAAGAAGGAAGTTGCGGATCAAGATTGCGGATTCGTGTGCTTGAAATGTACGGTATTTGCGTACAGCTTGAGAGCCGACGGCCATATGCTAGAAAGGTTTCAGCTCGTTCTGCAGCAACTGTGACAAGCCAAAGTCACATACCATGAGCTTCCGATGTTTCCTCCATCGGTCGCCATACGGCAACGTAGTTTGATTCGTGGTTGTCGCGTTGATTGCATCGCCCATAGCAATGATTCTTGGTCTGCTCGAGAAGATGTCTGATCTTTTTTCCAGCAAGTCACTCGCGACCCATGCATCGCTCAATATGATGCGCGGTTGCCGCCCGATCCAGAGAGTCATCATGGGTGAGTCGTAGTGCTGGGCCCACTTCTCCCATGTAATCCATGGCTTGTACGATGGCGTTTGGAAATGGTTTCCGACGATGGGAAATGGGAAGGGGCCTGGAGGGAGATAACGGCGACGCCATAGTATGTGGATGTAGTCTGCGATTAAGCCGATGGATGCGAAGCAGAGAAGAATTAAAACAAGCTGGAGCATTTTGTTCGAGTAAAATTCTGCGCTGCACTTGAGCGCGATGCAACTGTGAGGGTATCGTTATTACTACTATTTATACGATACAAAGGCTGACGGTCCAGTTAGTCGAATCGACATCTCAACGCTCTGGGGAGCTCAAGACTATCCCAACGATGCCAAGAATTCACTGGAATTTATGCCGATTTCCCATTGCAGTCTTGGATGCTGTGATACGCATGCGCGGGGACAACGAGGGGACGTGCGGAGAAGCGAGCAATGTGGGGTCGGTCGGACCGATGACCCAGCTGACGAGCGCGTGGGATACTCTCTAATTCCCCGACACTTTCAACAGTCTTTCACCTTCTTCATTTCCATCTTTGTTCGCCGCTCCTCGCGTTGGAACTCTCGTCTTCGCTCCATGTGTGCCTCCTAGCGACCGTTAATGGCTTTATCTCCGGCGTCAAAAGGGCTAGCTGAGCGGCGTGTGTAATTGCCGCGATCTTTCCAGTGCTGACATACAATGTGGCGGAGACGGTCTTCGTTCTGTGGTCTTTCTTTCGCATCGAGATGTCGTTGTATTACAGCGCATTGGCTGACGTCTTCGCGCGCACCGCTCTACGGATTGGAGAGCGTCGGGCAGGTCGCCGAAGTTGTTGACATTGGTGCTATCATCGCGCGGTCCTCTTCCACCAGACGCTTTTATATCTTCGTTATCCTGCTTTTTCCGGCAGTGTCTGCTCTCGATATGGGTGTATCTCGAACGAACTCAGGCAGCTCCGTTTCTCCCATTCGGCGAACGTCATAGCGCCGCAGTCCGGGCAGAGCGGTAGTGCGTCCTCATGTCTCCTCCACGGTTTGCGCATTTGGTTTCGAAAACCAGCGGGCTTCCCCGTTTGCTCGATGTCGCTGCGGGACAAGACGTTAGAGAGACGGTTGTAGGACGCGATTAGTGACGCATGCAGAGTGCGCGATAGGCGTGGGATCAGGTATCGTGACTGGCAGGTTAGTGCTGGAGTGGGTGGGAGATGCGGTCGCGGGAACTCATACATTTTGGGGATTGAGCGGTTGCGGCCCAGCTTGGTCGGATGGTAACGGCGAGAAGCTTGTGGTTGACATGGTGGTATGGCGGTGTTGATTGTTGGGTGATGAGGTGGTCGGAAGAGAAGGATGCAGATGCGGTGATGTAGGAGGAAGGAGCGCATTAGCATGGGGATTAAGCATTTGTGATACCCCAGGCACCAGCATTACCACATGACCCGGGGACGCTTCGACGAGCGTGTAATCGGGATGCTGAAGTTGGGTAGTCGTCCTGTGGTTCATCTTGGCTGCTAGGCTGGGTGGACCACTAACAACTTAACACCAAACCTGAATGCGGAAATACCTAAGATGTGTTGGGTATGTCGCAAACTTCAAGAAGAAGCACACATTAAACAGCAGCTCGTGATCGGAGGAGCAAGCGATGGAGACGCAGGCGACGCTTAAAGGCACGAAGTCGCCGGTAATAGTCGAACTACCAAAGTCGAAGCCCCGTACCAGCCATGGCGACGGTAAACCTCGAGATGATCGATACGCCCCAAGCCATCGTTAAACTAGTAGACCGTGTTATCTCCCTCCACGAAGCCCGCAATGACACGCTTGACTCGCCCATCATCCACATGTCTCTTGAAGGCGTGAACCTTGGTCGCTCAGGCACTGTCTCCATCATAACTCTCTTGCTCCACGAAAGCCCTTCAGCGCAGCACACTTACCTCATCGATGTGCATAGCCTGGGCGCACAGACTTTCAGCACTGCAGGCGCAAACGGAAAGACGCTGAAGCATATACTGCAGGATGAAAGAATCCCTAAGGTCTTCTTCGACGTGCGCATTGACTCCGTCGCGCTGTTCGCGCTTTACAGTATCGCACTAGAAGGAGTTCAGGACGTACAGCTTATGGATAGTGCGGCGATAGAGACGACAGAATCGAGGGAGTATCTTAGTTGGCTGACCGCGTGCGTCAAGTACAACCCCATAATCTCATACTACCAATACACGACTTGGTCGAGGGGCAGAGAGGCGGGCGAGCAGTTGTTCAGATCTGAACTCGGCGGATCGCCCGACGTCTTCAACAAGCGGCCCCTTCCCGACGACATCATCAAGTACTGTGTCGGTAATGTTGCATGCCTTCCGGCGTTGCGCAACAAGCTTTGGGGTGGGCGGAGGCAGGACTGGCGTGATATGGTGCAAGATGAAACGGAGAGACGAGTCGCGTATACCCATGGTGCCGACTATCAGCCTGGTGGGACAGATTGGGTGTTGGCGCCGTGGACCGACGATCAGAATATGGCACTTGACATGTTCAACCTACCAAGTGATTTTGAAGATGATTTCTTCGACTGTCTGGAGAATGATGAGGTTGAGGATGACGTAGAGCGAGGACGACGTAGAGAGAGGACGACGTAGAGCGAGGATGAAGGCCCTCCTGCATAGGCGTACCGAAGTGGTGAGCACACAAGCAATGTCAGCAGAAGCCATCATGGTCTGAACCCGTAGAATGGAAAGCAAATATCTGCAAGCGCAGCAGAAGTGCGATATACAATACTGTACATATCTACATACCTCCCAGGCCTTCCACTCACGCCGTCCTCTCACTATGCACCTCCTCTTCATCCTCCTTTTTCGTAGTCTCATACCTCTTGCCCCGGAAAGAGTACACGCCCCAGTTACTGCACGTAACATCATGCGGGTCCAGATCATTGAGATCCCATCTCAGGCTCCTGAACAGGTTCTCGCCGGGCTCGAGCAACATGTCCATCTCATTCCCAAACCTGTTCTTCAGGAAGTCGACATCCTGCTGCATATCCCACGGGCTGTATCCAGTCGCGATGATAGGAACCTTCGTCTCGAGGAGGAGGGGTAGCGTCTCCTCCCACTCGTGCGCAGACGCCGGGTTACCAAAACCGGGGTGGAACACGACGAAACAATCGAAGTAGGGGTCGTAAGGATAGAAGTAGCCCGTCTTGTGGATGTTGTGGTAGTACTCGACGAATGTGCTAATCTTCAGCGAGTTACTAATGCGGTCCTCAACAACGGCGCCGAACGGGTTCAGAGGCGTGCGCTCGGGAAGAGGCAGTTCCTTCTCGCGGTTCGCCATGCTCTCGGGCCCGATGAAGTTGAGGGAGAATTGTACGCGGTGGAAGAGGTAGGAGAGTTGCATCCAGGTTTCGCGGGGTAGCGAGGATTCTGCGCGGGCGCCGAGGATGAAGAGGCGGACCGAGGGGGGTGCGAGGCGTGCGTTCTTCCAGGTGTCGCCGCCGCCGGTGCGGGGTGGGTGGAGGGTGTGGCGGAGGGCTGGGTTGTGTTAGTATCATCTCATCTCCCAGATGGTTTGTACGTACCGCTGAAGCTCTTCAGTCCCTCGGGCGTCATGCGCCCGTTCTTCCTGATGTTGTAGGGACTCAGCTCGTTCAATACACTGGCGATGGTGATTGGGTATGTCAACAGCTTTGTCGCCTGGCGCATCTCCCGGTCCTCGTTCAGCGCATCGAAGTCTCGCGTGTACATGTATGTGTCCCAACTCGTCATGTTGACGAGGATCTCCTCCATCTGGGGCTCCGCGAACTGGAACTCCTTGAAGAAGCGCCCACTTCGCAGATCGTGGTCGTCCTCGTTGATCTGCTTCAGGACATCACAGACTTCCAGATGCGCCTCGTAGTCGTCCGCCCAATGCTCTTCGCAGCAATATACCGGTATGCCACAGTCTGGGCACTCGAAATCGACATGGGCGGGCGGAGCGCCGGTTTCAGAGGACTTGCGCGCCTCGAGATCCATCGGGTTGTTCGCCGGACGCGTCGGCTGATGTGAAGGATGTGGGCAGTAAGCATGCTGGCGCATGAAGGCCGCACGCTTCCGTATCTCAGGTATTGGCGAGCCCGAGAAGGAATTGAACAGGTTGTCCTCGGTCAGGACCAGCTTCCGCCGATGGCCCTCGGGATCGATGTATTCATACGGCTCGAACGGCTTCTCGAATGTCCGGGCCGGCGTCGTCGAGAGGCTGCGCTTGGGCAGGGCAAGCTTTGGCGGTGCTGCACTTTTGGTCGAGTGACTGCGTTGCGACGGCACCTTGGGCGCGAGCGGGCGGAGGCCCTGCGATGGCCGTAATTGAGAGCGCGGCGTCTTCAGGGCCGAGAGACACTGTCGGCAGGTGTACGGCGTCCTCATCTTGGGCTGTCGACTCGCAATTGGTGTTGGCGGGCTGCTGCCATATCGTGACATGAGGGTCCGCGAATGTTAGCGCGGTCCCGGCCAATCCAAACGCCGATTGGCTGCCTGCCTCGACGAAGACATCATCACCCGCCGCCGCCTGGTCGTAGTCAACACCAAAGTCACTTCATCGCAACATCGACGCGCTTTATTCTCGCATCTGAGTCCAAGGATGCCGCAGCGCGCGAATTGTGTCATATCGCTCAGGGCGTCGACGACAGCGACGTGCCATTTGTCCAGCTTCGAGTCCATTTGAAGCGCCGTTCCACGAAGCTGCTCAACTCCCAGCTGGTGTACTGAGCTTACATGCTTCGATCAACCTGGAGGCGTAGACATACGAAACAATACAGAATGCATTGACGAATTATCGACCCCTCCATGGTGTTGTCCATATCCCTCGGTCGTAGCTGATGCGGAATTTGGACCCGACGTAATTGACCTATCAGCGACCAATGATGCTGGCTCCAATGCTCGGCCTCTTTTGCGCGGTACTTGCTAGCCCTAGATGCATATCCCAAATGTCCCACCGGAAGAACAACTCCCTGAACGTTGTTCACGGAGGATCTTTATAGCGATCGCCATCTGCACATACTGTACTTCCCCGCAACTAACCCCGGAAAAGATCCAAGCCCGCTGCACAACGTCACATGGATCGCCAACACAATAAAACCACAGCGGCGCCCGTGTTGCTATCATGATCAAGGCCGCTTCGAACCAATTCGTCAACACCGATAATGCGGTTATCACAGATTGGATCGCTTCTAGCGACCTGTGGGTTGGTTGACTTGTCAAATGCGAAATCACTATGGTCAACAGTTCCTGCGAATGGTAGCAACATCATCCGTACCACCTATCCTCTTGGAAATGGACGTCTTGGTGCCATGCCAATTGGCCCACCCGGTGCTGAGACGCTCACCCTGAACTTGGATACATTGTGGTCAGGAGGTCCTTTCAATGCATCGGTAAGCTATGCTAACTCTATCCTGACAATCAATCTAACACATCAGATAGAATTACACGGGCGGTAATCCGACCTCTTCGAAAGCAGCAGCATTACCGGGTATCCGCGACTGGATCTTCACCAATGGAACGGGAAACGTGACGGAACTGCTGGGCTTAGACGCTTCGTATGGCTCGTACCAAGTGCTAGGAAACTTAAGTGTGTCAATGCCGTCGATAGCAGATTCCGATGTTACCGACTATATGCGGACATTGAACCTGAGCAATGGCGTCCATACCACGGCGTTTAGCGTGAACGGTAGCCTTGTCGAGACCGAAACGTTCTGCTCGTTCCCAGATCAAGTCTGCGTCTATTCGGTTCGCTCGTCAGGTCAGCTGCCAGCGCTGGAAGTGAGACTGGACAATACACTCATTGAGCCGGAGTTGCGCAACATTACATGCGTCGGTGGTGATGCGACGAGTTCATCGCATCTGAGAATGAGCGCCCTGACGCAGCTTGGCCCACCTGAAGGTATGCGATACGACGCGATGGCACGAGTTGCATACAATACCGGCATCGAAGTTGTATGTGATGGTGAAGCCAAGTCTTTGATGGTCTCCTCGCGCAACGGTACGAACAGTGTCACGATAATAGTCGGCGCTGAAACGAACTACGACGCAAAGAAGGGAACAGCGGAGTACGACTACTCTTTCCGTGGCGAAGATCCAGGCCCGATCGTTGAGTCCACGACTCTCGCCGCCGCCGCCAGACCTTTGTCGGATCTACAAGGACGTCACATGGAGGACTTCACTTCTCTCACTGACCGCTTCACGCTATCTCTTCCCGATTCTTTCAACTCATCTCAAGTACCCACATCCGAGCTCGTCGCACGTTACAACGCCAACATCACAGCCGGCGACCCATACCTCGAGAGCCTGCTCTTCGACTATTCACGATATCTCTTCATCGCCAGCTCGCGACCGGGCTCTCTTCCCCCGAACCTTCAAGGACGATGGGCCGAAAGTCTCGAACCCGCTTGGTCGGCAGACTACCATTCCAACATCAATATCCAGATGAACCACTGGACCGCCGATCAGACTGGTTTGACTGATCTCCAATCACCGCTATGGGACTACATGTCTGACAACTGGGTTCCACGCGGCAGCGAGACCGCCGAGCTGCTATATGGCGCACCCGGTTGGGTGGTTCACAACGAGATGAACATCTTCGGCCACACGGGCATGAAGAGCGGAGCTGAGTGGGCGAACTATCCGCTCTCTGCAGCTTGGATGATGCAGCATGTCTTCGACCATTGGGATTACTCGCGCGACGAAGCCTGGTTGCGTGATCAGGGCTACCCGCTGATGAAGGGTGTTGCCGAATTCTGGCTCAGCCAGCTGCAAGAAGATCGCTTCAACAACGACGGCTCACTGGTCGTGAACCCATGCAACAGCCCTGAGCACGGCCCTACGACATTCGGATGCGCGCACTATCAGCAATTGATACACCAGGTCTTCGATGCCGTCCTTTCCACTGCGCCCACCGTCAACGAAACCGACACCGCGTTCGTCACCAACATCACCGATTCCCTCCAACGACTCGACAAAGGCTTCGCGATCGGTTCCTGGGGCCAGATCAAAGAGTGGAAGCTACCCGAGGAACCCTACGGCCTAGAATTCATCAACGACACCCACCGCCACCTTTCCGAACTAGTAGGCTGGTACCCCGGCTACTCGATCTCTTCCTTCCTCAACGGCTACACCGACACCGCAGTCCAAGACGCTGTTCGCCAGAAACTGTACAGCCGTGGCAACGGCAACGGCGAGGCCCTCAACCAGGCGAATGCAGGCTGGGCGAAGGTTTGGCGCGCCGCTTGCTGGGCTCGCCTCAACGAAACGGATGAAGCTTACTACGAGCTTAGATATGCCATTGAACAGAATTTCGCAGGGAATGGGTTGAGCATGTATGATGGAGATAGGGTTCCGTTTCAGATCGACGCGAACTTTGGGTTTGGAGGCGCCGTGTTGAGTATGCTTGTTGCGGATATGCCGTTGGCTGCGGGGGATATGAGAGAGAAGACCGTGGTGCTGGGCCCGGCGATTCCGAAGAGTTGGGGTGGCGGGAGTGTGAAGGGGTTGCGGTTGAGAGGCGGTGGGGTTGTGGACTTTGGGTGGGATGAGGATGGTGTGGTTTGGGAGGTGGAGGTTGATGGGGGGTTGGACGGGGTGAGGATTGTAGATAAAGATGGGAAAGTGCTCGTGGAGTAGGATGAACGGGCTGGAAAGAAGAGGATGCTACTTGGATTCTAATCCTGATATGCTCATACGTGTAGAGGATGAACTATTACAAACCCCGCCGTGATCGCACGCCACCTGTGGTATCGAAGCTGACATCTAAGTAGACATGATATGGCGATGCGCATGACAAGATCATACTGAAGGTTGCGCGCGGCGAGGGCAGCCAGCTCACAGAGAGGTCCAGGTGTCACGCTAGCGCGCACAATTTGCGCCCACATCCCGAGGTTCACTCGGAGGCGAACGCGAACCCACCAACCATCCAACAGCGCCCAATCTCGACCCCAGACCGCAACATGACGCCTGTCACAAGAGGGTGCCGTGCATGTGGACTAGCCAGCGATATGTGAAACTGGATCCAGCTCTCGACATCGAACACCAGACGCCGAACACTTGCGACCGACCACATCTTCGTACCCATGGCTCCTTCCCTTCAAATCGAATGGGATAGACCGGAATCGATCTGTAGCGTCTATCGATCACTCTTGTCGTTGCACGCTCTCCGGATGCCTCAAACGTCATCGTCTCCTTGTGTCAGGTCTTTCGTTTGAATGGGTTGGCATGCGCATCTTCACTACAAACCAGGGAACATCCAGTCGCACAGCAGTATACCGGTGTATGGAACTCATGGCTCAGCCTTGAGATCTGAGTCTGGCCTCAGCCGCTTCTTTACCCGCTCCCGTGCTGACATGCAGTGGCGTTGCTTACGCATCGCTTGCGCGGTGTCACCAATGGGCCAAGGACCATGAGGACTTTGAAGACTTTCCTCTTTCGACATACTGCCGGCGTGCCCTATGGTAGCGATGCGCATTACATAAGTAGGCGTGCCACGCATGCCGGCTCTCGTAGCGATACTTTCGTTTTTCACTGCGCAAAGATGAAGACGTACACGAGATTCCTCGTCGCCTTGATGTGGACAACTGCTTTCTCCGCCTGTGTTCACGGATGGTCAACGCGTGACGAGATCGTCCAGTCCATCCAGGAACGCGCCACCGCTGGTATCCACAACGTACCTGCAGACGACGCCGCAACGTAACTGACCCTTCGTGTCCAGACTCTATCGACCTCGAGGCGATTCCAGGCTTCAACCTCAGCTCCGCTCTTGACAGCATCGCGTCGACATACCTCGATGGCGAGGCGCAAGAGCTGCCACAGCGCAACAGCTCCAATGTTACCCCCATCATCGATGTTCATGGTACGCAATTCCTTCTCCACTTTATGTTAATCGACCTGATGAAGCTTCGTAGCGCATTGCGTTCCCGACTGGTATCGCGCAATCGCTCCCACAGCCGGCGGGAATCCGACCCCATTCTGGAACGTCAGCGGGCATCTCAACTTCATGACGAGCCAAGGCATCTCGCACGCAGTCGTGGCATTCTCCTCGCCCGGCGCAAACGTGTATCCTGGTAATCGAAAAGCGACCATGGCGCTTGCTCGGCTGATCAACGAGCAATCCGCAGCGTATGCGCGAGTCTACCCCAAGCACTTCTCGTTCTACGGCGTCGTGCCGCTCCCATATACCCGGGATGCCATCGCTGAAGCCATGTACGCTCTTGACACGCTTGCAGCCGCAGGTATCGCGCTCTACTCCAACTTCGAAGGTCGATACCTTGGTGATCCTGCCTTCACGCCCTTCTTCCGAGCCATGAACGCGCGGGGTGCCGACCAGATTATCTACATCCACCCCACGACGCCGTACTTGCGCATCAACGACACGCTCGTCGAAGCGAACCCAACGACGTACCCAACCGGCAACATCGAGTTCTACTTCGAAACCGCGCGCGTACTCCAAGACCTCGCCGTCACGCAGACAATCCTCAACTTCACAAACATCAACTACATCATCCCGCACGTCGGCGGCGCATTCCCGTCCGTCGCGGACCGCCTGCTGAAGTCGTTCCCCGCGCTCTACGACCGCACCTTGGCCGCTTTGCAGACGCGCTTCTACTGGGACTCCGCGGGCCCCACGTACTTCCATCAGGTCGGTGGTCTTCTCGCATACGACATACCGGCATCGCAGCTCTTGTTTGGCACAGATTACCCGTACGCGCCGATATTCACGTATGCGCCTTCGCTAGTAGGGATTAAGATGTCGCGGTTCGTAAACGATTCCGAGCGAGCAGGCATCTTCTTTCGCAACGCGCAGAGGCTCTTTGTGATTGCGCCTACCCTAGAGGACGTCTTAGGGCTATAGGCCCTAAGCAATTTTTAGTAAGAGTAATAAGGCTAACTACATTAGAATAGAGAATAACAGACTATTATTATACAAATTCTAGAATATACGTAGTAATATTAAAGTGTAATATTAGTAACTTATAGTGTAATATTAGTAGGCCTAAGTATAATATTAATAGGTATAAGAATAATATTAGTAGTAGTAGATATAATATTAGTAGGTCTAGAAGTAATATTAAATATTTAATACTACTTATTTTAATCTAAAATAGTAATTAAAATTATTCTTACTATAATATAAATATATTAATAAGACTACTTTTAAAATTATAAGTATTTTAGAAACTTTATAATTCTAAAAGTACTCTATTCTAAAGAGCTAACTAGATTTAGAGCTAACTTTAGTTATTTTAGTACTAAGATATATATATTTCTCTACGTAGATAATATTATATAAGCTAATTCTAGTAAACTTTATAAACTAGTCTAGTTAGATTTCTACTTTAGAAAATATACTTAGAGCTACTAGCTCTACTCTAGAGAATATCTTAGATCTACTAGATCTAAGTAATTTTTAGTAAGAGTAATAAAACTAATAAGAAATAAAGAAATAGTCTTAAAATAGTAGCTCTAAAGCTTTTAAACTTTACTATCTAAAAGTTTAGATAAAATCTAAGTAAGCTATTTTATATAGAATAATTATATAAACTTAATACTTTACTTAGCTTATTAATAGCTACTTATATTATAAAGTTTAAAGCTAAATTTTAAAGTTCTTTATATAATTACTATACTTAATACTAGTATAGTCTATATACTACTAGAATTTAGTATCTATATATAGCTAAATTTAGCGCTTATAGCTAAATTTTAATACTTATAGCTAAATTTTAAGTTTAAAGTAAAACTAAAATTAGATATCTATAGTTAGAGTTAATTACTAAATTAAAAACTTAAGATAGATACTTTTATAGCTAGAAATTAGCACTTCTATAGCTAAAAAAAAGTATTTTTATAGCTAAATTTACTACTTATAGCTAAATTTTAATATTTATAGCTAAATTTTAAACTTAAAGTAAAGCTAAAATTAGATATTTATAGTTAGAATTAGTTTCTAAATTAAGTACTTAAGATAGGCACTTCTATAGCTAGAAATAAGCGCTTCTATAGCTAAATTTAGCACTTATAGCTAAATTTTAATATCTATAGCTAAACTTTAGACTTAGAATACTATTTTCTATATTAATCTTTTTTTTTCTATTACTATAAAGTACTTTACTTTCTAATAAATAAAAAGCGCTATTAAATTTATAAAGTATAGTCTATAGTATAGATATTATAGAAGTAATTATATAGCTAAAAACTTTACTTTTTAGCTACTTTATAACTAGCGCTTATACTAGTCTTTAGACTAATACTTTATCTATAATATTTATTATAGCTTTATCTATCTACTAGTTCTAAAGCTTAGTACTTAAAATTTAAACTCTAGATAACTATTTAAGCTATCTACTAGTATACTAAGTTTTTATCTATAAAAGCTATAGCGCTATCTATAGTAAGACTAAATATCTTTAGATTTTTTACTAAGTTAAGAAGAAAAAGTAGTAAGTACTAAATAAACGCTATTAGATTAGTACTCTTCTACTTACTAATCTAAAAGATATTACTCTTCTACTACTAAATTAACTACTAATACTACTTCTAGATATCTTAATTCTAGTCTACTTTTATATCTATATAGACTATATATTTATTACTAAGAACTATAATAAAATTTAGCGCTATTATAATAAAGTCTATAACTAGAAAACTAGCTTCTAAGACTAGAAGTTTTAGACTTATATCTAAGTATAGATATTTTTCTATACTAGTAGCTTTTAGAAATACTTTAAAGTAAATTCTATTACTAAAAATAAAAGTAGTACTTCTTCTAGTAAAATTTTACTTATATTATAAAAAATTTAAAGTTTATAGATAAAGTATATAAAGTTACTTACTATAGCTAATACTATAGTTATAAAAACTAACTAGACTAGCTAGTTTAAAAGAAATTACTAGCTAATTTATTTTACTAAGTATAATTTTCTTTATCTTTACTAAGTAAGCTATATACCTAATAAAGATAATATACTACTTACTTAGATAGCTACTATTATTAAATAAGTAATTAAATAGATAGTTAGTAAGCTTTCTACTTTTAGACTTAAGAGTAGATACTAGTTATAAAGCTCTAATACTAAGTAGATTAATTTATATCTAATAGTATATCTATAAAATCTACAAAGCTAGAAGTAGTATACTAAGTATATAAAACGCTTTATTTAATATTTACTATATATTTATAATACTTAAGAAATAAGCGCTAATAGTAGTAAGAGTAGTTTATTTTAAAGTTAGCTTAGTATAAAGAGTAAACTAGATTTAGATACTAATAGTTAAACTAGCCTCTTTCTATACTATAGAGATAAAATATATAATATAAAGTAGCTATTTTTTTAGACTAGTACCTAAAAGTAACTTACTAGAGACTTTATTAGTACTTTATATCTAAATAGTCTAGCTTTTTAAATTATTTATTTTCTATATCTATTTTAAAAGTTTATATTTTATATTACTAGAAATAAGCTTTTTAGTAGTAGATTAATTTACTTTCTTACTATTATAAGTATTAATAAAACTACTAACTATTTATAAAAAGCTTAACTTTAGAGTTAATACTATATATACTATATATATATTACGTCTATAAGTATATTTATTATACTAGCTCTAGAAGCTATAGTATTAAGTTAAAA